GACAGACTCTTGAAGGAAAGGGGGTGGAGTTCCTAGGCCTTTGCCAGCTCAGGCTGTGGGAGGAAGGGTGAGGGGATGGGGAGCCCAGGTCCAGCTGTCAGCTCTGGGGCTGCAGTGGCCTCTCCTGCCACAGCAGGGGTTGAGGCCTTCCTGCCCATGCTCAGCTCAGGATGCCAACCCCCATCTCAGCTACAGGAGAAGGAGCCGAAGACAGAACCTTGACCCATCTCTACCATGCCCAGGATGCCCCTGGCTCACTGCTCAGCCTCCCGAACAACCAACTCCATGGCACAGCCCACTGCCTCTGCCCCTCTTGGTCCCTCCAGTCACACCCCATCCACAGCCTTCCTCTGGTGTCCCTCCTGAGCCCTCTCTCGATGGCACCCAGCAGCCCCTGCCTTGCTGGCCCCGGGCTGGTGGGAGGCAGTGGGAGATGACAGAAGGCAGGCCTCAGCAGGTGCAGAAGCCAGACTTAGAGCAGCCAGCACTCCTCCCCCACCGGCAGCTGCCATCTCATGTGGAGTCTTGGGGTGGGATTCAGCGGGGAGCAGGCCAGGCCTTGGGGATGCCTGGGGATGAACTGAAGGGTTGGAACCTGCTGGTTAATGATCCACCTCTGTCCTCCCTCAGCACTGGCTACTGTCTGCCACAGCCAAGGGCAGAGGGCAGCTGGGCCACAGTGACCACTGCTTCCTGGGACTCGGCTTCTAGCTCCACGCAGCAGAAGAGCATCCCACCCAAGCACCCTGGTGGAATGGGGACACAAGCCGGCAGCACCTCAGCTTGCAGCGCCTTGAGGGGTGCATGATGGGTGGTCTCTCAGGACATTTGAAGAGTTCTGTCAAATAAAAGGACTGGGAGGAGGAAGGGGCTAAGGCAGGCATTTCAAATGGGGCATTGGTTCAAGGCCCAGCTACTCCAATTCTGTTACAGCTCTCTGCTGATGCATCTGGGACAGCACAAGAGGTTGGCCCTAGTGCTTGGGCCTCTGCACCTAACATGGGAGACCTGGAAGACGCCTGTAACTCTTGACTTCGGACGGACTCAGCTTGGCTATTGCAGACATTTGGGGAGTGAAGCAGTAGATGGGAGATCTCTTACCCTGTCTTCTCTTTCTGTAATACAGTCCATCTTTCCAATAAAAATAAGTATTATTACAGGGCCTGGTATGATAGTGTAACGGCTAAAGTCCTCGCCTTGAATCGCAGGGATCCCATAGGGGCGCCAGTTCTAATCCCAGTGATCCCGGTTTCCGTCCAGCTCCCTGCTTGTGGCCTGGGAAAGCAGTCGAGGACGGCCCAAAGCCTTGGGACCCTGCACCCGTGTGGGAGACCCAGAGGAAGTTCCTGGATCCTGGCTTCGGATCGGCACAGCACCAGCTATTGTGCTCACTTGGGGAGTGAATCATTAGACAGAAGATCTTCCTCTCTGTCTCTCCTCCTCTCTGTATATCTGCCCTTCCAATAAAAATAAACCTCTTTAAAAGAAAAATGTATTATTTTATAAAAAGGTTGGAAGGCCCAGAACAACAGTTCACTGGCTAAATCCTCATCTTGCAAGTGTGAGGCTCCATTTTCAGAGCGCCTTTGGAAGGTGAGGGGTGGGAGCCGCCGGCACACAGAATGGACCCGTGCACCGCTTGGGGAACCTGGACTGGCGTTGCCCAGCCCTGGGTGTTCTAGACCTTAGTGACAGACTTTTCTGTCTCTGTTCCTCTTTTTTCTTTTGAAGATTTATTTATTTTTATTGGGAAGTCAGATATTCACAGAGAGACAGAGAGGAAGCTCTTTTGTCCAATGAGATGATTCACTCCCCAAGCGACTGCAACGGCCGGTGCTGTGCCAATCTGAAGCCAGGAGCCCAGATCCTCTTCCAGGTCTCCCACATGGGTGCAGGGTCCCAGAGGTTTGCGCCGTCCTCCACTGCCTTCCCAGGCCACAAGCAGAGAGCTGGGTGGGAAACAGGGCTGCCAGGATTAGAACTCCCAACCAGATGGGATCCTGGCGTGTTCAAGGCGAGGACTTTAGCCACTAGACCACCATGCAGAGCCCTCTCTTCCTCTTAAATAAATAGGAGCTGACACTGTGGCATAGTGAGTAAAGCCACTGCCTGTTGCACTGGTATCACACAGGGGTGCCAGTTTAAGTTCCAGCTGCTCCACTTTCAATCCAGCTCCCTCAGCAGAAAATGACCCAACTGCTTGAGCCCTGTGCCCAGGAGGGAGACGCAGAGGAAGCTCCATGGTGCTGGCTTCAGCCTGGCCAGTCCTGGTCATCGCTGCTTTTGGTGAAGTAACCAGTGGCTAGAAGGTCACGCTGGCTTTCTCTGTCCAACTCTGCCTTCCAAACCAATCAATATTAAACAAAAAAGTACAAATAATTTAAAAAAGAGACTTCAGAGTCATGCCAATCAATTGCAGTCAGCAACACAGGGCCACCCAACCTGGCCTGGTCACCACCACTGCTGGCTCAGCCCTCGGCCCAGCAGCTGGTCCCATTCGGCTAGGTTCCACAGCACGAATTCCAGCACATGGTAAAAGCTGTGAACGTGGCTGTCCACATGCAGGCAGGAATTTCACACTGAGCCATTGGGCCATGAACTCCGGCGCTGCCCTCTGGGCCAAGTCTCACATGATCTCACAGCCAGCCAGAAGGACAGCTGCGGGCAGAGGGCCGTGGCCACCCAGGCTTGTCACTCCTTTGTTGCCTTCTAATTTCTAGGACCTTGTCCCTACCTCCCAGTGCCTGGACAGCCTTGCATGTAGCCTCCTCAGCTGGCTCCCGTTGCCTGCAGCATCTCCAGTTAGAAGGAAGTGGCAGAATTGGAGGTCTCTCTCTGCTGACCCAGAACTGGAACTTGTGGCTTCCAAAGTGCAGTGTCAACAGGCAGTACACTTCACAATCAGCCACAGCCAACACAGGAACCCATGCGTTTTTGTTTGTTTGTTTGTTTGTTTTTTAGTATTATTTGGTTTTGGACCCAGCATCATAGCCTAGTGGCTAAATCCTCAACCTGCATGTGCCAGGATCTCATATAGGTGCCGGTTCATATTGTAGCTGCTCCACTTCCCATCCAGCTCCCTGCTTGTGACCTGGGAAAGCAGCAGAGGATGACCTAAAGTATTGGGACCCTGCACCTGCATGGGAGACCCTGAGGAGGTTCCTGGCTCCTGGCTTGGGATCGAGCTCAGGTACGGATGTTGCGGCCATTTGGGAAGTGAATCAGCAGATGGAGGATTTTTCTCTCTGTAGATCTGGCTTTCAAATAAAAATCTCTTTAAATAAAAATAATTTTTAAAAATTTATTTTATTTTTAATTGGAAAGGCAGATATACAGAGTGAAGGAGGTACAGAGAGGAACTTCTTCCAGACCTCCCATGTGAGTACGTGGTCCCCAGGCTCTGGGCCGTCCTCTACTGCTTTCACAGGCCACAAGCAGGGAGCTGGATGGGAAGTGGGGCAGCTGGGGTATGAACTGGCACCCTTATGGGATCCCAGCGGAGGTAAGGCAAGGATTTAATCGCTAGGCTATTGTGTTGGGTCCTACACATCCTTTTTAAAATTAAAGCAAAATGTTTCAGGAGCCAGTGTTGTGGCAGAGATTATGCCACTAGCTGCACACTGGTGCCCCACATCAGGGCAGTCCCAGCTGCTCTGCTCCCTGCCAATGTACCCTGGAAGCAGTAGAAGCTGCCCAAGTCCTTGGACTCCGTCACTTCCTGGAACATGCTCTGCTGCCTTCCCAGGCCTGCAGGAAGGTGGCTGGGCTGGAGCAGATGCAGGACAAGCAGCAGGCATCCCAGCGGCTCGCTGGCCCTGCCCCAGGGCCTGCCACTTGCTCACACAGGCACGCGCAGCCCCAGCTCTCAGGCTGTGCTGCGCAGTGTCCGTTTTGAGTCATCTCATTACCCGATTTCTCTTGTGACGTTGACCCTTTCATTGCTGAACAGTGTGTTAGCTGCCATGTACTTAGGAACTTTGTTCTTTTGTTACTATAAACTTCTGCTCTGCCTCCACTGCGACTGGTCAAGGTCCTGTGCAGGCTGCCTCTCACTGAGGCCACTGTGGGGTGCGGCGCATGGCCTGTCCTGGAGCGCTCACATGCACCCGACAGCAAGGCGCTCTGCGGCCAAGCAATGGCCTCCTAGGTCTCCAGAGCTTTGCCCAAGTCACGTGTCACGTGGAAACACGTGGCAGAGAAGGCCTAATAGAAGGAAAGCCCCATGGCCACTGCTCCCCTAACTAAAGCCTCTCCAGCCTCCCTCCTCACACCCATGGGAAGCTCCAGGCTGGGCTGAGCCCTGCTTTCCTCCATGGAAAGCCTCAACACACCAAATCTGGATTTGCACTTTGTGAATAATGTGCGTCTTGCTTGTGAGGGTGCCAGCCCCCCTGTGGCTCCAGGCGTCCTGTGTGGTCCCGTGATCCCTCCACCTGCACCCTGTGCTTGCGGCTTCCCTTTCTCTACCCTGACTTCCCCAGCTAGCCCCTCGCTCTGTCCCATGCCCTCACAGAGCAGGGTTGGTCCCTGGAGTCCCTTCCCCCCGACTGTCACAGCTGCGCTCCTCCAGGGGTGGGAAGACCCTTGGAGGTGGGGCTCCAGCGTGCAGGAAGAGGGGATGACTGGCACCTCCCGAGCCAGACAGGCAGCTGGGAGCCACAACACTGTCGTGGTGAAGGAACAGATGCCTCTTGGGCAAGGGCTTGTGCTGGCGGGCCCTGGCTGAGTGGGACCCTGCCCTGAGGCACACCCGGGGAAGGTGACAGGGTGCACATGTCTTTGCTGGGCGAGCCTGGGCTACGTCACCAACAGGCCCAGCTGAAGCCAACTTGGAAAATTCCAGGGACAAGGAAATTTACCGTGGGGAGGGTGGGGGCAGCTGAACCTTGGCTGGCAACACCCAGAACATGACCGGGGCTGAGGAGCTGCTGCTAGCCCCCAGCGGGGCCCTTGTCCCCACCACGTCACCCCCCCCCCCCAAAGGAGAGACTCAGCCAGGCCACAGGAAGGAGTCCTTTAATGGAGACTGCACAGACGGGGGCCAGGCGGCCCAGGAGCCCGCTGCACCTGCCTGCTGTCTGCCTGCGGGGGCCGACCCAGGAGGCACAGCTACCCGCTCCCTGCCACCCTGGATGTGGGCCCATGGGGTGGAATTGGGAGAGGTGGTTTTAAAAACACGGTTGTACTAATTCTTTGCGTTCAGGGTAAAAGGAGACAGGAGAGCAGCTTGCTGGGCAGCCGTGCCAGGGCACATCTGGAGCCCGCCCCAAGCCAAAGCTTCCCCGGGCCATCTGCACACCAAAGAAGCAGAAAGCCCAGGGAAGCCTGAGAGGGAGGGAGGCGAGGAACAGCACCACAGCAGGTAGCCTGAGGGCCCCCCTGCCTCAGCTGTTGGGGTCCCTGCGCAGGCTCACCCTTACGCTTTGTGGCAACCTCGCCCTGGCCTTGGCTTGTGCGGGTGAGGGGATCTGATGCACATGGCCAGCCAGGGTGGGAAACGGCTCTAGGTCCCTGGTGGCCGGTGAGCCATGGAGCAGTTGGAGCCACAGGCCCAGCCTTACTGTACACCTGCTCTTTGAGGCTGTGATGGGGTCAGACAGAAGGACGACTCTGGACAAGATGCAGGCAGGGTGGGAGCAGGCAGGAGTGGAAGGACAAGGTGTGAACTGTGAGGTCAGGGGCAAGGAGTGTGTGGACCTGGCTCGGGTTGTGGGCAGGGGCCCGGCCAGAACTGTGGCAAGCCAGTCCAGGGCAGGGAAGGCCACAGGTCCGTGAGAGGCTCCCCTGGGCTGCCTCAGGAGGAGGGCTGGGGTGCCCCAGGCCATCCAAGTATGTGTAGGGATCCCCTGGCTGGGCGTCCCGGGGGGGCTCCCCTGGTGGGCTCCCCCCGGGACTGGGGCGGAGGGCAGGGCACGGTGTCATCTGTGACTCAGTTGTTCTCAAACAGAGCGAGCAGATCATCGTTGCTGCTGGTGGGGAGGTCAGGCGGGCCCAGGTAGGACAGCAGCTCGTCGGGGTTCGTCAGTTCTGGGAGTAACTGGGGGCAAAGTGACATGTCAATGGCTTGGGTCTTAGGCCTGCCGTGCCCAGTGGCCATCTGGCCTGCCTCACAACGGACTCCCAGGACACCCAGAGGAAGGGCGCCTGGCCGAGTGCTATGGGGCGCACAGGCCTGCAAGGCAGCCCCATGGAACGCTCGGGCCATGCAGAGGGCAGCACCCCAGAGCCTGAGGATTTCCTGCCTCGTGCTGATCTTATCTTATGCCCTTGAATAAGGAGTTACGGACCGGCAGCTGTCTCCCCGTCACCAAATCTGAGCTCGCAGACAGGTGAGCAAACGACAGGTCGAGTCAGGCTGGGGACTGGGTGGCCGGCTGCAGCTAAGTCCCTGCTGCGGATACCACACAGACCACCCCGTGGCCCACGTTCCAGGAGCCAGCTCCAACCCCTACTTGCAGCAGGCAGCATGGTGCCGGGGCCATGCTCTGACTGCTGTGCCCGCCCAAACCGCCTCCAGCCCACGGCCCAAGGCTGAGCCCTGCCTGCCATGCCTGCCCAGGGCGCCTCGAGCCCGCAGCCCAGGGCCTGGGACTCACATCTAGAGCCGGTTCTGGAGCCTCCCCTGCCCCAGACATGCTGGGGGGCCCCAGCACGCCTGTGGCAGCACTGAAGGCCAGTTCGCCAATGGGGCCTGAGGTCAGCGGGCCCAGGGACTGCCGGGATGCCGGGGGAGGGTTCGGATGGTGCAGCTGAGGACGTGCGGGGCCTCCAAGGTTGGAGGTGTGCAGCCCTGGTGGCCCGGGGTTGTGCGCTGGGTCCAGGTGGCTCACGGGGGCCATCTGTGGGTAGAGAGCACTTGATGGGAGAGGCTGGGGCTCTCAGCGATGGGCTCTCTGGCCCTCAGTGTGGTACTGACCTGGCCTGGGAGACAGGGCGCTGACTTCTCGGGTGTCAAGAGGCCGCCGGGAATGTCAGACTGGTAGGAGATCGGGGGAGGCCCCGGGGTGAACTCGGCAATGGTGGGGGTGCTGGGAGTGGTAGGCGGGAAAGATTCAGGGAAGGTGCTGGGCCCCAGGAAGCTGGAACCTGTAAGAGGGTGGGAAAGGGGCTCGAGCTGGGGAAGCGCCAGGGCTCAGGGGAGCTCCCTGGGAGGGAGTGGAGCTGACCTCAGGGCCTCTCCAGAGCGGAGGCCTGGGGGCTGGGCTCGCCGTCACCACCACTGTGCTGTGGGGCCTGCCAGCCGCCAGCCCCTAATTGCCCCCTAAGGAGTCCCACTGCCTGGTTCCTAGGCCACGGCTGAGATGGGCTCATGGTGACGGTCGCAGGTGAGGACACCGTTCAGGTCGTCTGAGGTGGAGGCTGAAACGGGACCTAAACTCACCCTGGCCGGGGTAGTCGCCGGGGGCGGGGGCTGCAGGGGGCTGCAGGGGGGCACAGGGGGCCGCGCTGGGGCCCAGGGCGGCGATCATTTCCATCACGCTGGGCATGAGCACGTGTGCGGGGCTCACGGTGCGGCAGCGCTTCAGCACGGGCCCGTCGGGCTCCTCCTTGACGTGCACGTCCGGCTTCACGGGCACGGGCTTCCAGCTGCACGTGGGGTCAATGGTGATCTCCTCGTGGTCGGAGCTGCGGGGGACGTGTGTCGGTCACGCGCACGGGCCCACACCGGCGCGTTGCCCAGCACCTTCCCCGGGCCCAGGGCCACCACCCGTGGCCTGAACAGAGCCCTCTCCCACCTGTGCCAGGCCAGCCAGAGCTGCCGGGCTGGCAGCGAGAGGGGCACTTACTTCTGGATGTGAATCAGGACGCCCAGCATGTACTGGTCCACCTCCAGGCCCTCCAGCAACGCTGTCTTGCTGCAGGAAACAGGACAGGGCACAGGGGCCTTGCCCATCTGCCTCGGGTGCAGGCCCTGCCCCCAGCCCTGGGACCTTCACGTGGTGGCTGTGCGCCTGGTGGCCCGACGTGAGACAGGTCTGTGTGAGGTGACTGAGGGAACAGTATGAGATGACCCAGGCGACACTGTAAGCTGACCCTGGGTAACTGACTGTGCGAAGGAATGCTGTGCAGGGTGACTAAGTTAGCCATGCATGTGGGGACTGAGCTAACGTTCTCTGGGCGAGTGACTACATGAGCTGACCGACCCTGTGAGATAGTGTCTGAGGTGACAATATGAAGTGTTCTATGGATAAGGTGACACTGTGAAAGGCCACTGTGTGAGGTGAGACTGTATGAGATAAGCCAATGCGAGCTGGTCCTAAGAGAGGTGACCCAGGGCAAGGCCACCCTTGCAAGGTCTGCACCCGGAGCCACACCATCCTCTGCTGCTGACACCACAGGGTCACAGGCTTGCATATTTGGTCACCTCACTGGAAATTGCAGCCACAGGCGTTTCTGAAGTGTGGCGCCCTCCCTACAGACATGCGTCTCTGACTCACTTGCACACGGGGCACCTCCAGGTCCCCCGCTCACAGTTGAGCTGTAGGTACGACTCCAGGTCAAAGCACTGTGGAAAGGCAAGAAAGCGGCCGTTTCACACCCAGCGCGTGCACGCGGGCAGCTCCCCTCAGCTTTCCCAGGTGCATCAGCAATGAGCTGGATGGGAGTGGGACAGCTGGGACCTGAACCAGCGCCCATGCGGAATCACAGTGTTGCAGGCAGCTTGGGTGCTCTGGTGGCTGCCACCCACATGAGAAAGCTGGGGGGTGGTCCAGGCTCCCGGCTGTGGCGGCCATCTGGGGAGTCAGTCAGCAGACGGCCTCTGTCTCCCCATCTCCATCACTCTGCCTTTCAGATACATCTTGAGATGCTCTGCCATGACCACTCACCTGTATGTGGCGGCAGTCATGGCCCCGGGCAGGGAGCTGGATCCTGCGGAAGGTGATGGGGCACTTCAGGGACACCTTGATGGCCGTCTGCTCCACGCCGTCCTCTCCATTGAGACCCGGGGTCCCGGGGATGGTGCCACTGCTGAAGTTGCGCTTTACTGATGTCAACCGGGAAAGGACTTGTCAGGAGACGATCCCCAGCAGGGGAGTGTGGGGAGGGGGCACCAGCCCACGGGGCCAGCCCCTGCTCCACCCACAGCCCAGGAGAGCGGCACTCACTCTTGCTGATGCAGTGCTCCGCAGGCAGGAGGCGCTTCTTGAGGAGGCCCTGCAGGACTGAGCGCACGGCTGGCCGGTGGACCAGCTGCAGCACAAAGAGGTGCGACTGCAACACAAGCGGGGCCGCTGTCAGGCGTGTGTGCACATGCACGTGTCAGGACAGGGCTGAGGAGAGGTGGGGTCTGTGGGGGTGAGGCCTCTCACGCCCCTCGGGGGAGCCAGGGAGGTAGCCTGTGCTGCCACCCACCCTCATCCTGTACCTACAGCCGTATCATGCTGTCCGCACTTGCTGGCCAATCAGTGCCTGGCCCCCGCCACTGTCCGAACAAGCACCCAGGCCACCTGAACAGCCCCAGCTAGCAGCTTCCCCGTTGCTGATGGCAGCTTCCTCCATGGGCAGCAGCCCAGCTGTGAGCTCGGGCCTGGGCTGGCTGGGCTGACCCAGCACTCAGCAGTGGAGCCCTCCCTCCAGCATGGCTCTGCCTCAGGTGACACAAGTGCCGCCTCAGAGTGGAGACTTAGAACTCAGTGAGTTTTCTGTGTAGCCTGTGGCCATCAGACCTACTAAACGTAGATTAAGTGGACGGCAGCTTGGGTGTGGCTAGCGAGAGCTCCTCTCTTATGGGGCAAGAAAAAGACTGAGATGGGCGCCACCAGGCGGCTCCTTCAAGGCCAGGGCTAGGGCGTGCACGCACACAGCAGCAGGCCGTGACGGTGATCTGGATGGTATTGCGGCCCGGCTGGCACACGTGCTTTAGGTAGAGCGGCTTGTGCGAGGTCTTGTTGTCTCCGCGCTCGATGCTCAGCGGCGTGGCGTTGACGCTGACCTGCACCGAGGCCGGCCAGTTGGTGTTCATCTGTCGGTCCTCGTGGTGGTAGCACTTGAACTGCAGCTCCAGGTCGGGCCTGCGTGGCGTGGGGGCAGGGTGGAGGATGGGGCTGAGCCAGGGCGGGCATAGCCTGGGGCGCGAGCGGCCGCATGGCACTCACCTCAGTGTGAGGGTCTTGTACACCGAGTCCCGCAGCTGGAAGGCGTGGTTGCTCACGGCCAGATTGTGCTGCAGGCGGAAGGGCTCCAGGACCACTCCGTCCCGGACGGGGAAAGTGAGCCGTAGCTCGTCACAGGGGCCGCTCCCTGGTGGGGGATGCTGTGTGAGCGGCATGCGCACAGCCTGCCCTGCCAACACATATCCCTGCCGGGGACTGGGTGCCTCTCCCTGACACCCTGAGCCAAGGGCCCAGTGTCCTGACCTGCCTAGGTGGCTGGGTCCACTGTGTCCTCATCTGTCCTGGTACTAACACAGCAGGTATGGCATCCTGTGCTTTCAGAAACGATGGCTGGTGTGTGTGTACATGTGGGGGGTCACCTGCCAACCCCTGTGGCCTACCCAGGGTTTCTGGACCCTGACTTCTGCGTTGTGGAGTTTCCCCCATCTCCCCAAAATCAGAGGTTCTGAACTAGGGTCAGAGGTTAGGGAGAATGAGAAAGCCCGTGAAATTACAGACCAACTTGGCGTCTCTCTAGAGCCCACCATAGCCTCCACCACATGTGCAGGGCAGTGAGGGCGTGGCTGGACTTCAGGGAGACGGGACCCTGGGCTTGTCTCCAGCAGCAAGTGGCTGCCCCCAGCCCCAGCACCTCCCTAGACACCTCTCTGAAGGCCTGGCCGCCCCCGCTCACGCCCCGGCTGGGCACCGCTTGGACACTCACCCGAGGAGGACGGGTGCAGGGGGCCGAAGCCTGGCTTGAGGTCAGGCAGGAAGGCAGACTTGACCTCCTGACTCGGGGACATGTAGGGGAGACTGCCGCTGGGAGTCATGGGAGGCGTGGGGTTCCCTGGCAGCGGGGAGCTGGGGTAACCAGGGATGGACCGAGCAGGCTGTAGGGTCAAGCACACATCAAGGCAGACAGGGGGATGGGGTTTGTGTGATGTCAGGGAGCCCCAGCAGAGGACGCGAGCTGTCCCAGGGGTGTCAGGTAGAGTACCCACACGTCCTTCTGCCCAGGTGCCTCTCTCACTGTGCCCACCCTGTGAGCCTCCCAGCCCGTCTGTCCGGCCCGGGGCCATACCCCACTCAGGCTGTAACTGACGCTGGCCCCGTTGAAGCTGGCACCCTGCCCGTTGAACTGCTCTGTGGGCTGTGGGAGAGAAAACGGTGTGTGCCTGGGGGTCCAGCCTGCACTAGCCAGGCCTCTGGACCTGGCACTGGAAGCCGGGCACATGTGGGGTGCCGGGCCCTCATTTACATGCCTTGCATTCCTTGTTCATTCACAGCATTGCTTGCTCCCGTGGGAGGGGCTACAGACATCACCTTCCACTCCACCTATCACCTCCTCCCACCCTCCGCCCAAAGGATACGCTCCCCCAGGGGACCAGATGAAACACAGGGCCTCTCTGTGTTAGCCGGGATGTTCTGACACAAGGGAGAGCAGGTCTGGACCCCCACTGCCAAGATGCCCCTGCAGTGGCCAGAACTCCTGGGGGCAAACAGGGCCCTGCCCCTTTTCCTGCCTCAGGACCCCCTGGGGTACAACTGGCACAGAGCCCAGCGCGGGCCCAGGGGAGCCATCCCTACCTTGTAATGGAGTCCTGCGGGGCCGGGGGCAGACAGGGACTGGCTCAACCCCTGCTGCAGGGGCAGCCGGTGCCCAGGGTGGGAGGCGGGGGGTGCGGGGGGCTGCCCGGGAGCATACTGGGCAGTGTTGGACACGAACTGGCCTCCCTGCAGGTACTGCTGCCCTGGATACACCTGCAGGAGAGGCATGAGGCCAAGGAAGCACCAGCCCTGTGCTGGGCACGGTGGGTATCATGCTCTTGCTGAAGAAGCTGCGGACACTGCAGCTTTGGGCCAGGCAGCCTGGGCACTTACCTCCGAGTAGCTTCTCTTGATCCCCTGTCGGGGCAGCGGCTGGGCCTGGGGAGGCCCGGGGTAGCCGTGCTGCGGCAGGCGCTGCCCTGCATACAGGGGTGCCACGCCTGCTGCCCGGGTGGGGTTCACAGTCATGGGCGAGAGGCCAGTTGGGCCCATCACCCCTCCCATGCCTGCCGGGCTCATACCAGCAGGGATGCTGGGCCCCCGGGGACTTCCATGCTGCAGGAACTGACTGTTAAAGGACTGCCCAGGCCCCATCTGGGGAGAGAAAAAGAGGAATGTCCAGGCCCCGTGCATGATGGGCCTGTGACCCCCCCACCCCTATGGGAGGAGCTCCCGGGACTCACTGCGCCATACTGGCTCAGCTCCTGGCTCTGCTTCTCCTGCAGCGCAGCCACGGTGGCTGTGGCTGTGGCCGTGGCCGTGGCCGCAGCTGCAGCCACAGCAGCAGCTGCAGCCGCTTGTGTGAAGTCAGTGGAGGGCCGGCCAGCATGGGCAGGGAGGCCCAGGCCCCCTGCACCACCTGCATACCTGCGAGACACACAGGACAGCCATGCTCACCCCAGGACCCACAGTCTCTACTGTACCATCTGGGTTGGCAGGGAAGCAGGGAGGCCACATCCGATGTGTCACCTGCTGGGCTTACCCGGTGCTGAAGCTGGGGCCGCTGGGGTAGCCCCCGCGGCCGTACACGCCTTGCTGCACATAGCCCTTGCTGGCCCCGCTGTCGGCAAACGCCTGCTGTCCCAGGCACTGCGGGGAGGTCAAGGCAGAGCTGCCGCCGGCCACACCAGGCATCATGGAGCTGCCAGGGGGGCTCCCCGCAGGGCCCATGGGGTTCCCCAAAACCTAGAAGGAGACAGCAATCACCAAAGGGAACCTGCCAAACAACTTGTTCAGGCAGTGACCCTGAGGAGCTGGGGACTCAGAGGCCTGGCCAGGGGAATCCCCGAGGGGCAAGATGGTTGGGCAGCAAGTCGAACAGCCTGTGGAGGCCAGGTGGGCGCAGCTGAGACGTGGTAACATCCAATGGCTCGGGGAGTCCCACCTCAAGCCAGCCCCTCACACCGACGCTCGGTGCTTACCTGGCTCTGTGCTGTGTTGCCGACACCCCACACGGTAGTGACCACAGACAGCGAGCCGGCCGGCTGAGTGGCGCCTTGTTGCCAAGGCAAAGGCTCGTATGCAAATGAACCATCACTACAGGGAGAGTGGCCAGTGAGGACGGGGCCGGGGCCACAGGCACCCACGAGCCCAGGGCCTGAGAGGGGTGGGCACGAGAGCCCACACTCACCCGTGTGGTGCAGGGGGCAGGGCAGGTTTCATGGGATTCATCGAGTTCATTGGCGACGGAGCAGCCTACAGGCTGGGTCAGCTGGGCCTTAACTGGGACTCGGCGGCTCTGGCTGCGAGAAGGGATAGCACATCCTTACTCCACTCCCCTCCCACACTGAGGGGAGCGGATCTGAACCCGACAGGTCCTCCTGTGACACCCCTAATAATTCCCAACAGGGCTGGGACACAACGCAGAGCAGCTGGGGGTCGGCCCTGGCAGGGACAAGTCTGTGTCCCACAATCGCAGGCAAGCGGTGATGGTGGTGGGGTACTTGGGCCACCCCTGCCGCATGGGCTAAGCAGACAAGTGGGCCTGTAGCAGGTGGACTGACCCAGGGGGACTTACACCTGCTGGACCACTCTGATGTCCATGTTTTGTCAGGCTGTGATACTCCAAGTACCATGCCTTCTAACACTGCCAGAGCAAACCGTCTCCCAGGCCGAGCTGCCCTCTGGATCTTCTCCCATGGCCCTGGCTGGTACTGCCTTAGGTCCACAGCTGCTGGGTCTGACTATTGGGTGGCCCCGCAGCAGGACAGGCTCTCGCCTGGACACCCACCTTCTGGGGGCTGCGAGGCTGTCACAGGCATGTTCCTCTGGCACCACGACCCTAGCACTTGCGAGGCCTCCCAGGAGAGAGGCTGGCCCAGCCCCCAGCTCTGTTGGGGAGGACTGTCCTGCGTGCTGACCTCAGGCTCTCCCCACAGCTCAGCAGTCGCAGTGAGACCCTCCACACCCCAAGCTCAATTACACAGCTGGAGCCATACAGCCAGCACCTGGAGGCCAGTGGGAAGATCGCAGAGGGGCCACTTGGCCACAGGGGCCAGGCCTCTGCTCAGTTCCGCCCATGGGGCAAAGCAGGGAGCCAGGCAGGGCAGCGTGGCCTGGACCGAGAAGGCTGGCACCCGGGTCGGCAGTGGACGTGACCTCAGGACTTGTGGTAGAAACCATGGTGGCAACAGGGCAGAGGCTAGAACCACCTACCGAGGCAGGTCAGCCATGGCGGGGTGAGGTGAATGCATGGCTCTGTCAACCCTGGGCTGACACACTTGACAGACACCAGCCTACAGACACACACACAGAGCACAGAGCCCTCAGAGCAGCATGGAAGAAAACCATGTCAGCACCCAGGGCGGGTGAAGGACCCTCAGCCTGGACGCCAAAGGGTGATCTCTCAGAAAGCACCGACCGAGAGAATGTCATCCAGACAGAGGGTGCCCTGAAAGCAGCACCCTGAGCCCAGCACGGCCTCCCTGACGCAGACCGGGCAAACAGCACCCTGAGCCCGGCACGGCCTCCCTGACGCAGACCGGGCAAACAGCACCCTGAGCTCGGCACGGCCTCCCTGACGCAGACCGGGCAAACAGCAGCTGATGGCTCCAGGAGGCCTGGACTGAGTGCCCAGCTCTCCACATCGGCCTGGCCTTAGCCGTGACACGCCGCTGAGGGAAGGCTCAGCAGACAGGAGACTTGTCTGCCTCTCTCTCATTCCATTCTTCCTCTGGGAACGACCCTGCTGGGGAAAATGGGATACGCCACTGCCTGCATCCCATGAGCTGTGGTTCAAGACTCAGATGCTCCACATCAGAACCAGCTCCCTGCTACTATACCTGGGAAAGCAGCAAAGGATGGGCTGGTACTGGGGACCCTGCAGCCCATGTGGGAGACCACCTACCAGGCTCCCAGCTCTGGATGCTGGTGCCATCTCGGGAGTGAACCAGCAGATGGAATATTCCTGCTTCTCTCTCTCTCTGTAACCTTGCGTTTCTTTCAATTTTTATTTTTATTGGAAAGTCAGATATACAGAGAAGACGAGAGATAGACAAGATCTGTCTGATGGTTCACTCCCCAAGGGGTCACAATGGCTGGAGCTGAACCAATCCAAAGCCAGGAGCCAGGAGCCTCTCTTCCAGTTCTCCCACATGGGTTCAGGGTTCCAAGGCTTTGGGCCGTCCTTGACTGCTTTCCCAGTCCACAAGCAGGGAGCTGGATGAGCAGTGCTGTCGGGATTAGAACCAGTGACCATTTGGGATCCCGGCATGTGCAAGTCGAAGACTTTAACCACTATGCTAACAAGCCGGGCCCTTTTTTTCAATTTTTTTTTTCCCACCAAAAAAGACTCTTAAGAAAGACAAGCAAGCCACATATCCAACAAGGGGCTAATATGCAGATCATGTGAAGAACTGCCAAAACTAAAAAAGCCATAAAACAAAAAAGTCCGATTAGCAATAGGCAGAAGCAGAGAGGCTCTCCAAAGAGGACAGACAGCCCAGGGAGAGGGACCACAGCTCCGGATAGAGCCGGGGGTCATATCACCACAGGCCGACCGACAGCAACACCACTGACTAAGAGAGGTGCTGACTGGGCCCAGTGCGATGGCTCAGTGCCGACATCCTTGCAGCGCTGGGATCCCATATGGATGCTGGCTTGTGTCCCAAATGCTCCACTTCCCATCCCGCTCCCTGCTTGTAGCCTGGGAAGGTAGTGGAAGAATGACCAAAGCCTTGGGTCCCTGTACCCATGTGGGACACTTGGAGGAGGCTCCTGGCTCCAGGCTTTGGATCTGCTCAGCTCTGGCTGTTGCAGCCTGCTTCCTGACACAGGCCTCCAACTCCCGTTTCCCGCCCTCACACTGACGTCCAGCTCTGGCCTCCTCCTGCACTGGCCTCCAGCTCCAGCCTCTTATGTGACAACCTGGCACCTGCATGTCCGCATGTCAACCTGAGAACATTGCGGACAGCATTCACATGAAAGCCCGTGTCCAGATGCCGACAGCTGCTTTTACCATCATAGCCCCATGTCCTTCAGTGGACGAAGAGTTAACCCCCATGGTGTATCTAGCACCCTGACACAGAGGGCCACAGGGGCACCCATGACAGTTTAGGTGGGTGGAAGGTACTTAGCCCCGAGGCCACTCACGTGGGGTGCCTGAAGGTTGGGGTGAGGTGATCACCACACACACACACAAGGAGCACCCTGGAGACACCCAACTTCCCCCAGCCTGGGGCAAGTGGGAGGGGGCGGCAGGTGCCAGCATCCCACACAGGAGCTCGGCTTCTCAGCCAGTGCCCTGCTAATGCACCTAGGAGAGCAACCTGGGGCCCTGCCAGCCACTAAGGATGCCTGGGTGGAGCTCCAGGCTCCTGGCTTTGGGTTGGTTCAGTTGGGGCCTTTTGGGGAGTGACCCAGTAGATGTGAGATCTGTGTATGTGTGCAGAGGGAGGGAGGAAGACTTCCCCCCTACAAATAAACAAACAAAGCTTTTACAGAGTGTGAACAGGCTGGAATGGGGCTGTGCTCTGGTCGGGATACAGTTGTAGCCTCCCTTGCCACAAGTGTGGACTGGGACTTGACACACCGGGCCGGGTCAGACTGCAACACCTTCTGGTGTTCTGGAGGACCAGGGTAGATGTGGGACGGACTAGGCTGGGTTTCAACCCCAACTGAGCCATGTATATGCTATATGTGGGTATGGATGAGCTGTGGCTGGGCTGAAACATCCAATAGCAAGAACCAGAACGGGTTGAAGGCCAGTTAAGAAAAGCCACTGTTCCTGCTAGGACAGGTGGTAAACTGAGTGGTGCTGGCCCATGGACCCACTGGTAAGCGCGAAGCCTGGCATCAGGAGGGGTTCTGATGGAGGAGCCTGAGCAACTCCTCTGACAGGGCACGGATCCTGCAAATAAGCGCAAGAAGCACGTAAGGAAACAGCCCAGAAGAGGCCATGGAAAGTGCACCACTGGCATGCTTTTGGCATGGGTTGGGGGCAGACCAGGCTGAAACAGCTCGCGTCATCCACTGGCAAATTCGAACACTGGAGCAGGGTGTGGGTCGAGCCAGGCTCGGCCGTGACAAAAGCAGTACACAACACAGAATGCCAAGGTGAGGTTGCCTGTGCCAGATGTGACCGCAGCGCCCAACCAGCACACGTGAGAATCAGAAAGCGGGGGCAGAGCCGACAGGGGAATAAGGGGGGGTTCCTTTGCTGGATAGCTGCTCCCACTGGAGAGAGTGAGCTGGGATGGGGGCGGACCAGACTAAGCAGGGATGCAACACCTGTGCGCCTCATGTGGACTAGATCAGGGAAGAGCCAGGATGGGAGGACTATTTCAACTAGTACTAACAAAACTAGAGAGCTGTCGGGGCTTACCCGTCGCAGAAGCTGTCACTAGGGGCTAATACTGTCAAGTCAAACCACAGAACCACCTGGGAAGAGCATAATCCGGGAGTGAGAGCGACCTGGGAGGGAAACAGTGGGCTCCTCCCTCTTGGGGTACTACCACCAGGGGAGGGCACAAAATAACTAGGACAGGGGCTGGGGTGGCTAAACAGAGAGGCACCCAACAACACCCGTGAGGGCTGGACAGTTGAGCTGGTTGGATGGAACTAAACTCCAATACCCTTCGACATTTATGAGAGCCAAATGGGATATGGGGCAGACCTAGCTAGTCTGCTACACATATTGGCAATCAGGGTAGGGGCGGGCCTGGTGGGGGTTATTGTGGGTCACCCTGACTAGGCTGCAGCTCCCACTGGTTTGTGTGATGGCCGAGTGTGTGATGAGCAGAACCAGGATGAATTGTAACACACACTGGTTCCAGTGGAAGTCAGGGCTGAAGTCAGAGCCAACCCAGCGATTGCAACGACCAGCTGATCGGGGAGATGGACTGTGCCAGGTCCTGTACCTGCTTGTACATATAGGAATCTGGTCTGGGAACACCTCAAAGTCTCTTTGGGGATCGCATCAACTGAAACGGCAGATTCAGAACCTTAACCAAGAAAAGAGGGAAGACAAAACAGGTCAATCAACCACCAAAGCTATATGTTGGCAGCGAAACACTGGACAAAGGGAGACTCTATGATGGACTATGTCAATCAATAGATTATTCAACAGCCTCATCATGTCTGGAGTGGCGAGACTGGCAGCAATGCACAACGCGTGAACTACCAGGACCGCCTGAGCAAGGATCTCAGAGCATGCTCTACATCCAGGACCTGGGGTGGGCGGGAGACTGGGTGGGGCTTCTCCTCCACATTCCCTTTAGCCCTTATAACTTTTTACCCTAATCAACAATGTAAAGATTACCAAAATATAATAATAATAAAAAAAGAGTATGAGAAGGCAGGTGGCAGGAAGCAGCTCGTGAAGGGATCACTGAGGGCTCTGGGATGTGGAGTAGCAGTTGTGAAAAATGCCACCACTGGGGGAAGTGGGAAGGACACACGTGCACACAACCACAGCGAGCCATGCCAAGCCCCAGCCCTCCCCAGGCGGAAGCTGGCCCACTCTGCAGGGCCCTCCCCGAGGCACAGTGCTGAGGAAGGCAGCTCTCAAACGGCACAGCAGAAGCACCTCAGTTCGGGACTTGAGGTCACCAGGGCGGCAGCGCCCAGGCGAGGGAGGCAGGCGCTGAAAGGGCGGGCTGGGCCCACACCTGCACTTGCAGCAAAGTTGGCAGGGGCTGCTATGGGTGCAGACACCACAGGTGGAGGCCTGGATCCTGGCAAGCTAGAGAGCTGGGTCAGGGTGACAGGGCAGGCGCAGGCGGTGAACAGCCCCACAGCCTCTGGGTCACGTGGGCCTGGGGAATTTCACCCCCACGCGTCTGCTGTGGACACAGACCACAGACACTCCCAGTTCCTCCTGGGCTCACTCCTGCTGCACAGCGGGTGAGGGCTCCTGCTGAGCCCCCTCCCGACCTGGCCTTGGGGCAGATGCCCACCTGCAGGCAGGTGCCCCCCCCAGGGAGGGTTTCTGTGAAGGCAGAGCTTCCTCCCACCTTCTGGCCCTCCCTGTGGTCCCCAGTCACTTCCGGCTCCAGCTGGAAGCCCAGTGCCTCGCCATAGCTGCAGGGGCTGCAGGAATTGCAGATGAGTCCAAAGCTGCAGGGCTGAGGGGCTGCCCGAGATCAGCCCAGAAAGCCACTTGGCTTCTGGTGGGGGCACTGAAGTGTGGGGGGCAGCTCACATCTGAGCTGTCAAGAACTGCCAAGACCTTCTGCCCCAGCAGCCCAGCACAGTCCCCATTCTGCACACAACGCAGGAAGCAGGACGCAGTTACCAAGGACCCACGCCCAGGCGGGCAGGTGGGCAGCAGGTCAGCCCTTCACAATGGGTTTCCAAGCAGAACTCTAAGAGCCCAGGGTTAGGCCTCCCACAGGGCCCTAGAGCAGTGAAAGTTCCAGAGTGGGGCAGGAGTAGCGTCCTTGGCAAAGGTGGGAGACCCACTCCCCTCCCTGTGTGAGCACAACGCTGATGGACAGACCTGGGAGAGCCCAGGCTTCAGGAGACCGGAGTCACTGGGCTCAGGCATGGCGTCCAACAGGTACCCAGCCCCAGGAGAAGGTGCCCAACCACCACAGGGTCCCCAGGTGCCCCAGGCCCCTGCTTGAGACGCCTGCACCTGCCTGCTCTCTGGCCTGCCCCAGCTTCCGTAACTTCCAGCACATCGTCCCGACTCAGCGCAGGACTCAGCGGTTACTGCACATCCTATCTGCCCACCACACGGTTCTCTCGGGTCACATGTTCCTTGCACGTCCCCCACAACGAAAATGACTTAAGGACAACACAGCAGACATTCTGAAACTAGCAGCAAGACAGCGCCCTGGGGGAGCAGAGTGCCAGCAGGGGGCCAGGGCAGCCGGGAGTGGGCACACGACTGACTGGTGCAGGGGTAAGCAAGGCGCCCATTTGGGAGGGCCCCATACCTCAGGGAGGGACAAGGGCACTGTGGAGTCTGAGCTGGGGATGTCACTTGGGAAGCGGTGTCCCACGAAAACCACAGCTGGAGGCTGACAGGCCAGCGTCACTCGGCCCCCCATATCCGCCTGGTGGGCACCAGGGTGGGAGCGGGACGCACCCTGAAGGTGAGATCGCCGGGGCTCGGAGCAAAGAACGGTCACGCTGGGGAGAGGGCCTGCCCAGCATCCTATGTCCAGCACCTACCCCAGGACCAGTCCCCAACAAAAGCCCGGAGAGGTGGATGACCCCGACATCCACGGGGCCGCATCGCCCGAGACGACCGACGCGTGCCCGGCAGGTGCGGGAAGGTGGGCGGCAGAGCCCCGGCCTCTGGCCCTGCCGCGAACCCCACCGTGGACGCGGGCAGCAGCGGGCCGGCAGCGCCCCGGGAGACCGACCGCACCTGCCGGCCCGCACCTGCCGCACCTGCCCGCCTCCGCCGCCCGCACCTGCCCGTACCCCCGAGGCCCTGCTCACCTGCGCCCTGCCTGGCCCGGCCCCTAGCCGCGACAGCCCCCGGCCCGCGCCGCTCCATGCGCTCAGCCCGCCCTCCGCGCCGCCCGCCGCCCGGGGGAGACCGCCGCCCGCGCCATCGCGCCGCCGCCCGCTCCGAGGGCACAATGGAGCCGCCGCCGCGCCGCTCATGCATATGCATGACGTCGCGCGGCCGGCCCCGCCTCCCAGGCCAGAGCAGCCGAGCCTCGAGCTACCGCCCGAGCGGAGGCACCTGCAGGCCCCAGGGGCCCAGAATGGCGGGGGAGACTGCGTTGAGGGAGGCCAGATGGGCGAGAGAGGCGGCCCGATCGTGGCCTGCGCCCCCTGCCCCTCCACACCTGTCCGACCGCGGCGTCAGCGGGGCCGACCCGCGCTTCCTGCTCGCTGTCCGACGGGGGCGGGGCCGGCCGGGGACGCAGGGGCGGGGCCAGGAGGAGGAGGCGGGGCCGTGACGCCGAGGCCGAACCGGAGAGGTGGGGTTGGGGCGGGGGCGGGGCCGGAGCCGGGGCGGGGCCAGGCGGTGGGGGCGGGGCCAGGATGCAGAGACCCGTCTTGAGGGGGCGTGGCCATGTGTCGGAGGCGTGGCTGGTGGCGGAGAGGCCCGGCCGGGGCCCGAACCGGGGCCGCTCTGGTTTCGGCCGAGATGCCTCCTGGAGACCTGGAGGTGCCCACCGGGAGTGGCGCTCCTTAATGGACTAGGCGCTGTCACATCTCCTTCCCTGCTTGTGGGAAGATTACGTGTGTGGGGGGGTGGGGGCAGGCGAGCCTGGCTGCCATTTTGGGAGCGGGTGGTGGCTGAGCCACACCCACGCGCCCCCAGGGGACCTGGCTGTCCCCAGCCACAGGTTTTGTGAAGGATGATGCCGTTCAGAGCTTCGGAGAGACCCGCAGGTTCACTCCCTGGATGACCGCCCCGACGGGCCGGGCCCCGCTGAAGCCAGGAGGAGCCTGCGGCTTCATCCAGGCACCCCATGAGGGTGCAGGGGCCCAGACACCTGGCTGTCTGTCTTGCTTTCTCGGGTGCGTTGTTAGCTGGGCGCCGGGTGGAAAGTGGAACAACCAGCACTCAAACCAACTCCTGGGTAGGACGCTGGCGTTGCAAACCAACCCCATGCGCCACAACGCCAGCGCCTCGCCCACCTCCCCGTCCCCACCTGTCTCCTAAGACCCTGACAGAGTTGGGGTACCTGTTGTGACAGTGCGTTAAGCTGCCGCATGCGCCTCCAGCATCCCATGTGGTGTGGAACGTGGGAGACCCTACTGCAGTACCCAGCCCTATGTGGCCATTTAGAGAGAGAACCAGCAGGTGAAAAATCTGTCTCTTCCTCCCTCTCTGCCTTTCAAATAATTAAAAAAAAAAAAAAGTGCAAGTCCCAAAGTGAAACCTAAGTGTCTGTTGCTTCTTGGGGTACGCCCCTGTTGTGGCAGGTGTCAGTCTCACCGCTCCTGTGGCTGAAGAGGACTCCCTAGGGAGTGACTCAATCACATTTGACCCATCCCTTCCGCAGGAGCCAGAGATGCCAGGCGTCACCATGGCTGAGCTGTCTTCCCTGCGAGCTGATGGCACCCTGGGCTCCTTGGTGCTGTCTTTACGGAATTGCTGCTCCGCTGGACAGAGGAACACGTGGGCTCTGTGAGCCCTGCTCTGATCCAGGGGCCAGGGCAAAAAGGCTCCCACCTCAGAGAGGCAGGTGGAGGGCCAAACAGGAGGAAATGACTCAACAGGCAACAATGTAACCGTTTTGGAGCCTGTGCAAGACAGCTAAAGCAAGAGGAAGCCGCTGCCCATCCAGAGGAGACCTGGGTGCATGGGGAGGGCAGCACCAGGGCCCTAGGCCCTGTGCTCACCAGGTTTTCATTTTTTACTATTTGCATGGTTAGGAAAGTCTTCCTGGGACAAAGCTACCTCCTGATCCTTTGCTGCTAACATCACCTGGAGTGAGAATCCTCACTCTGCAGAAACAGCTGCTTTCCCCCAAGGGCCGCTGGCAGGAGAGCAGGTCCAGCCAGGCTCCACAGGGTCCCAGGCAGTGATTTCCAGGGCGGCTCGCTCCTATGCTCTGTCAGGGAGCACCGAGACACTGGCTGTCTCCAGCACCACACCAGCACGTGCTCCAGCCTGGCCCCAGCCCAGGTGTTGCAGGCATTTAGGGAAAGAGCTAGCACATGGAGGGTGATCTCTTTTTCCCTCTCTGTAACTGCCTTCTGAATACATACATAGGGGCCCGGCATGATGGGCTCAATGACTAAATCCTCACCTTGCAATTTCCTATCCAGCTCCCTGCCTGTATCCTGGGAGAGCAGTGAAGGGATAGCGCAAAGCCTTGGGACCCTGCACCCATGTGGGAAACCCAGAAGATCCTGGCTCCAGGCTTCAGCTCCAGCCTTTGTGGTCACTTGGGGAGTGAATCAATGGATGGAAGATCTTTCTGTTTCTCCTCCTCTCTGTATATCTGACTTTCCAATAAAAATAAATCTTTTTTAAAAAGTTTTTGAATAATGACTTACTTCCCAAATGGCCACAACAGCCAGAGCTTGGTCCGGCTTAGGACTCATTGGGTACACAGGCTCAAGGTCTTAGACCATCTTCTACTACTTGTCTAGACACATTTGCAGGGAGCTGAATCAGAAGTGGAGTCTTAGTTCTCATCCATGACCCTTCACTCAACACTATTGTCTGTCTCTCCAGTTGCCCTCTGGGTACTACCCTGTCCAGGGTGCAGCCAAGCAAGACCTGCTGTTCCTGCTGGAAGTTCCCCTTGCAGGAGGCTGTAGCCAGTTCTGGAGCCACACCTGGGTCAGCAAGGACTGGGCTTGTTCAAGATTAGATACAAGCGGAGCCATTCCCTGTGGGCATTCCTGTGCAGACCTACTAGCTTGCTAATGAGTAGCCTGTCTTTCAGGATGTTTTTGGGGAACTAAAATGCTGTGCCTTGCAACTCTGTATCTTGTCTTGTTAGTTAGTTGTAAGACAGAATGACAAACAGGAAGGGAGAGGGAAAGAGGTCTCCTGGTTCACTTCCCAAGCAGCTGCAAGGGGCCCAGCCAGGAGCCGTGAGCCCCCTCTGGGTCTCCCACATGGGTGGCAGAGCACAAGCACCTGGTTTATCATGCACTGCTTTCCCAGCCAGGAGCATCAGCAGGGAGCTGGGTAAAAGAAGTGCAGCCAGGACACAAATTGAAGCTCAGATTATGGGGGCCAGGGTCACAGGTTGCAACTTATACCATTCTGTTTCATGCAGCAAATTGTGGGTTTCTCACAGCCTTCGACAGTCCACAAAAGCAGGATTTGTGGTACTCTGCTTGCAGGCAGAGGAATAGTTCTTTAAGCCACCACATTGGCCCCTATTTTTTTTTTTTTTTAAGATTTATTTATTTTGGCCCCAGTGCAATGGTTCAGTGGTTAAAATCCTCGCCTTGCAGGTGCCGAGACCCCATATGGGTGCCAGTTTGTGCCTCAGCTGCTCTACTTCCCTTCTAGCTCCCTGCTTGTGGCCTGGGAAAGCAGTAGAGGATGGCCCAAAACCTTGGGACTGCACCCATGTGAGACCCAGAAGAGATTCTTAGCTCCTGGCTTTAGATGAGCTCTGCTCCGGCCGTTGTGGCCATTTGGGGAGTGAACCAACAGATGAAAGATTTTTCTCTGTCGTTCCTTCTCTCTGTAAATCTGCCTTCACAAAAGCAATTAAAAAAAATTAGGGCCCAGCGTAATGGCCTAGTGGCTAAAGTCCTGGCCTTGAACACGTCAGGATCCCATATGGGTGCCGGTTCTAATCCTAGTGGCCCCGCTTCCCATCCAGCTCCCTGCTGTGGCCTGGGAAGGCAGTCGAGGATGGCCCAAAGCCAGTGTCCCTGCACTAGTGTGGGAGATCCAGAAGAAGATCCTGGCTCCCGGCTTCAGACTGGCACAGCTCCAGCCATTGCCGTCACTTGGGGAGTGAATCATTGGAAGGAAGATGTTTCTCTCTGTTTCTCCTGCTCTCTCTCTATATAAATCTGACTTTGCGATAAAAAATAAATCTTTGGAAAAAAATTTAAAACAATTTATTTTTATTGGACATATCAGATTTACAGAGAAGGAAAGACAAAGATCTTCCACCCACTGGTTTACTCCCCAAATAGCTGCAATGGCAAGAGCAGAGCTGATCCGAAGCCAGGAGCTTGTTCTGGGTCTCCCACGGGTACAGCGTCCCAAGGCTGGGGGCTGTCCTCTGCTGCTCTCCCAGGCCACAAACAGGAAGCTGAGAGGGATGTGATACAGCCAGAACACAAACTGGTGCCTATGTGGGATCCTGGCACTTGCGAGATGAGGATTGAGCCATTGTGCCGGACACTGCACATGCCCCTTGTGACTGCCCGTTCTGTGGGAGTGTCACGGTTTGGGAGGAGCACTAGAGGAACCAAGAGCCACACGCACAACCCCAGGCACCGAGGCTTGGTGGGGAGCCCCGTGTGGAGGTCTGGGCTCCTGGCTCTGCGGAGTGAAGCAGTGGACAGAGGATCGCCAACTGCTGCTCTGTCTTTCGCAGTCTGCAGGATTTGCTGCAGGGCCCCGTGTTGGACTCTTGTGCTCGCACTGGACCAGCTGGGGTGTGGGCTGCTGCTCCCAGGGCCCCAGGCTGCACAAGGTGACTTGACTCCTCAAGGTCAAGGGCTAAGAGCAGGCCGACTGTGGGAAGTTCAGTCATGGCCATTCACCTGCAGGCCTGGCCCTCGGTCACAGACATGCCCTCTGCAGACACTTCTGCTTCCTGCCTGCTGCTGTTTTCACCCGACACCAGGCCGATGGGACCTCGAATCTCCAAATCTGTGCCCTTAAACAAGCTTTTTTTTTTTTTTTAAAGAATGGCTTGTTTTGATGTAGCGACAGAAAAAGATGTACTCCTGGAGGGATGTCAAGACAAGGCCAGCAACTGGCAAGTCACCCTCACAGCAAGCCTTCCCCAGCCCACGGGATCTGCCCTCACAAGTGGACATTTCCTTTGCTTTCCCAGCAGTCCACAGCACCCGGCTGAAGGCAGCTGGCTAAGAGCCACCAAGTAGTGCAGGATAAAAGGGCGGTGCTGGGTGCAGAATGTTAATCCAACTCTTACAACATCCAGACCAGCTTTTCCTCAGTGCACCAGGGAAGTCAGGGGTGGAGGTTTTAAGGTCTAGCTGGAGTGGGTGAGGGGCGCCTAGGAGGCTGCTGGAAAGGTCGCACTGGGAGGAAGCGGCCCCCTCCTCAGCCAGCAGTGACATTCACTAAGGTGGCAGGGAGCTTAGGACACTCTGGCACCAGATACAGCACATTCCTTTGTCCCCCACCCCACCTTTACAGCTCCCTAGTAAGGACAACCCTTGTCCCTTGGCTCACTGTCCCTCGCCTGGGAGTGCTCCCAATAAAGCGTCTTCTAAGCTTTCAGTGTGGGTGTCTGGTTCTGAACTTGAACCCTACAGAGGCTGCAACACTCAGATACCTGACATTAGCATGGCGTTCTGGGCTCCTGCCTTCAACCCAGAACTGGCTGTTGTGGCCATCGGGGCAGGGAACCATGGGTAACTCAAGGCTGCAAGTCCACACGAAAGGCCCCACAACTGAACTGAGAGCTGTCGTCTTAGTCGCTGCCCATTCTACTGGCTGTTACGAGGACAGTCTGGGTTTACAGACTTCCCACTTTGGACAAGCACAAACATACCCTGAGGCATGTTGGTGAAAGATGATAAAAGGCTTTTATAGCAGGTGGCAGAAGAGCTCCCCAGAGCAGTCAGGTGGAATAAACTGAGCCAGCACTATTGAACGTACTGTAAGGGAGCAGAAAGGAAGAGGACCAGAGGCAGCCTACTGCAAGTGGACCACAATCTCAGAGCCATAGTTGCAACTGCAGCCAATTCCCAGTTATCATTTTCCTCATGATCCAACAGGGTTTTCCCAGAAGCGGATTCGTATTTCTGGGTAGAGCTGGGGCCTATACCACCTTTGGCTTTAGGCCTTAACCCGTGCTCCGAGATGGCCCTCCCCAAAATGGAGCTGGTGTTGGCTGTGCTAAGTTACAGATGTGTGAGAGCCACAGCAGCAACATGAGACACAGCACTGATTCAAGTGTCTGCCATGGGAACAGCCACCTGTCACCAGCATGCAGCTCCTGCCTTCTGCTCCTCCGCCTCCAGGAGGCAGCAGTGATGGTGCACATCCTCAGAGCTGCAGCTCTCAGCTTCCAGTTTTTGCCAGGCCTGGTCCTGGATACTTGTAGCAAGTCTCCAGAAGAACCAGCAGAAAGGGCAGCAGTGTTACTGTGGACAGCGGCTCATCCTCTCCCACAGCTCGGTTCTGGGACTGCAGAGGCACACAGCGTTATGAACAGTGTGCACCTAGAAGGAGCTCAACTACAGGATCTGCTGGAGCGAGCGTTTCCAGCACTGGGCACGCAGCAAACAACAGCTGAGAGTTCATTTAGGAGACATCCACTAGGGTGTTCACATGGCTCAGCTCAGAAAACCAAGGTGTGTGCCAACCTACGTGCCCAGAGACGGGCAAGTGCATCAACGAGATGGGCTCTCTATGCACGGTGGAACATCATCCTGTCATCCCTACCCGGTGAGGCCACCTGAATGAAGTACAGCATGCTGCCATACGCGCAGGCAGCTGGATGCAAGTGGAGTAACTGGCACTCCGAAAAGGCACGTGAACGACTGGGGCAAAGCGAGTCCGCCCTCAATACTCGTTTCCATCACAACCAGTTCAAGGCCAGTCAGCAAGCTTGAGCAGCAAGATCAGACAAGCCCATGGAGGAAGCCCTAGGCAACAGGTGCAAGTCCTTCCCGGCACCCTGGGGCCTCCCTCAGGCAGCTGGCAGACCCATGGCTCCCATGGGAAGGCCAGGACCTGGGATGGGGTCCCCGCAGGTCCTGAGGTTGACAGGTCCTTTCCAGTAGCCCTGGGTGGACCTGGCCACCATGCTCATCCGTGGGCTGAGCTGGGGGGAAGGCACGACTACGGCAGGGGCAGGGTGGGGAGGACCCTGGCTGAGGTCAGCTCAGTCCCCTCAGGATCGGTGTGCAAGCTGTGGTACTGTGGACCATGGGACTGGTTGAGCGGGGGTCCCCATGTGACCTGCTGGCTGGAGGATCAGGTGCCTTCGTAGAAGCGCCTCCTCCTGGCTGTCCTGCTGATCCGGACATGCCAGGCCACAGAGCTCTGTTGGCTCCCACTCCCTGGGCTCTTCCTTAGCGAGAACGCCTTTGTGTATGCGGGTCTGGAATGAATTGGTGGTTGGTGTGCTTGTAGGCCATGGAGCAGCCTGCCGTGGCCCCTACCTGCCACGGGGCTTGGTGTCTGGGTCCTGGTAATCCCCAGTGGCCCATGGGGCTCCAGTGCCTGACTTCCACAGGTGGCGCCTGTGAGCTGGTGCAGGTTACCACCTTACCATCCAAGGGTCAGCCACACACAGCCTTCCCAGTCTGCTGCTCTACCCTCACGCCCTCACAGTTCCTGGCAGCGCTCCTTGCTCCTCACTTCCCCTCAAGGGCAGGCGAGGGTGGTCTGCATGTGAGGCACACTGGGCAGCCACACCTGCCCAGTAAGATTAACCAAGCCTGCCACCTGGAGTCACGGCCTGTGACCTAGTGGCTGCAGCTTGAGGAGCTGGGTCAGACCCGCCCAGGAAGCGCTGCCACCACACTCAATCTGGCACGTTCTGTTGCAGCAACCCTAGTAAGTGGTGCTCTAAGCGAGGCCCCAGCCCTCCCACTCACTGCGGCCTGCACACCTGCTACCCTGGGAGAAGCTGACGCTGAGAACACATGGATGCTGCGGATAACTTAGTTTATGGGTCAAGCCGATGCAATGCAAACATGTTTGTTTTTTCTTAACCAAAATAAATAATCACATCTGTCCCTGTGAAGGTCAAAGTGAGGCTGGGCAGTGAGCCCTGGGCCGCCAGGCCTCCCCCTTCTCCTGCTCCTGACCTGCTTTGGCAAAGAAAAGGACTCATTGCAAGTCTCCACCAGGATCAAGGATGCGGCCAGAATGGGGTGGCAGGAGAGAGAGGGCGGTCGGTGGGACGGAGACGGAGCAGTCAGTGCCCAGCTATGGGCACCGAGGGTGTTGCCCAGAACCCAGGAGTGAGTGGGACATGGCCCCCATGCACGGCCCCGGACCCTTGAGGGGTAGCACAGGTTGGGCCAGATCAGGCCAGGCCACACCCTGGCCACCCAGGCTCCCCTGCAGTGGCCCCCGGATCCCAAGAGGTGGCTCTGAGAAGACAAATCCTGTTCCCAGCAGGAGGCAGAGTCCCGTGGGTTACAAGGGGAGGCGACACTGGATTCCTTTCTTGCCTGAGGGGTGGTGCTAGGGATGGGTGAGGCTAGAGCTGAGGGGGAGGGGACTTCTTCTTGGCCCTCATCCCCCAGCCTGACAGTTGGCTCGACCTGGGAGCCAGGGGGCAGGCGGCACTCGGGCACAAGAGCCTAAATCCTAGCAGGGCGCATCAAGGGCAGAGTGTGGGCACGCTCAGGCACTATTCTTTAGTGGAAAAGCAAAGGGCAGCATGGAAGAGGGGAGTGGTGGCCCCGCACCCCAGGAGCATTTAGGAGAACTTCTTGAACGCATCCAGGTCGAAGGCAGTGTCCAGCAGGCGCTGAAGCTCCGTCAGGTGCGTCTTCTTGTTGCCGGTGGCAGGGGCGGCTGCTGGGTCCCGGCCGGCGTACCTGCCAAAAAGAATGGTGAGGGTGGCAGCTGGCACGGGCCGGGCCTGCTCCCCCAGGGAAGGATGGCCAGGGCCTCACCACACAGGCTTGGCACGGTCAATGGTGGTCCGGAGCCTGGGCTTCACGTAGTCGTAGTAGCCTTGGTTCTTGTGCTCCTCCTGGCACCAGGCCAGCTCGGCGTTCGGGTATTTCTGTACCTCCTTCAGCAGCAGGTCGAAGGGGAACGGTGACAGCTGTGCGAGAGCAGGCTGGTGAGGGGGACGCCGGAGGGCCGGGAGGTGCTGCCCAGCTGGAGTGGGCAAGAGTGACGGTTCCTCCTGGCCCCTGGAAGTTTCAGGGGCCTATAGCCTGGCAGCAGGTATCTGCGCTCTCACCTGCTCAATGCGTGTGATGGCCACCTGCTCAGCCATGCCCCTGGTGGCACGCTCCCGGGTGAGGTCGTAGTACACCTTGCCAGTGCAGAAGAGGAGCCGCTTGACGTTGGTTGGGTCCTGGGCAGCAGGGCCGCTCTCCGGTATCACCCGCTGGAAGTGGGTTCCTGCGAAAGAATGCCCACGGCCGGGCTGGGTTCCTCTCTAGGGCCTGTCCTGCCTCTGCTGTCAGCAAAGCGGCCCCATGATGCAGGGCAGGTCATGCCCTCTGTCCACAGCTTCCTAGGGCTCAGCCTTGGCTGCAACCGCCCAGTTAGGGCTGGCCCGGCCATCAGCCCACGGTGCCTGCCTGGATGTGCAGGGTCCCTGAGGCTACCAGTCCACTCTGTGTCTGCTGTGCTTATGCCAGAGGCTACACTCCAGCTGCCTACGGAAATAAGGTGGAAGGAAGGAAAGGGGCTGGCACTTGTGATGGAACTCCCCAAATCTCCACATGAGGAGGTCACGTGCGCGACCCACAGTGAATGCCTTACATGACGGAGACTGATGCGCAGCTCTGGGCTCACCCACAAGCGCTCAGGATGGCCCCATGTCCCAGTGCCAGGACCTGCTTCCTGGCTCCTAGAGTTGGGGCCCAGCCACTCATGAGAGCACCTGTGAGTGCACTCCTGGCAGGGTGCTCCTGGTGCTGACCAATGGAACTGACAGCTGAGGACAAAGCCCTGCTTATCCAGCCAAGGCCCTACAGCCAGGGACTGATCCCAATAGAGCGACAATGACTGACCTTACAAACTGCTGGGGAAACTGGCTGCCAGCATGCAAAGGCACAGGTGGACCTCACTGACAACAGTGCAAAACATTAATTCTAAAAGGATTGTGGTTGTAGTGCTACACCTAAGAGCTAAACCTCTAAAAGTCTCGGGAGGAAAAAAACAGAAAAACTTGATAAAAATGGACTTGATAATGATTTCTCGGTTACTACCCAAGCAGAGGCAACAGACTCTTCACAGTGCAGGAAAAGCGGAGTTCTGTCTCAATACAGGAAACCACACCCGACAAGGGCCAACAGCCCCAACACACAGAGCCAACTCTGCGACTCAAGCAGTCACTGGGTTCTGAAGTGGGCACACGTTCTTTCACAGCAGATGTCAAAATGACCACTAACACACAGAAGGTGCTAAGATGCCGTTTTCAGAGAAGAGAGAGTCGGCAGCAGGCTGAGGTCATGGTGCACATCCATCACAGGGACAGCCACCAGAAACACCAGCAGGACAGGCACTGCTGGCCAGAGGGCAGGGAAGCCGGCCTGTGAGTGCCGCGGCTGGAGGTAGAGCATGGCCTGGCACTTGCGCAAAAATCTAAAACAGAACTTCTCCAAGCTTCCACAAGACTGCACTTCTAGGTGCAGAACAAAGAGCTGCCGGCTCGCTGCAAGGCCACGCCCGCACGCCCCTGTGAGACACAGCAGTGACCCAGTGTCCACGCACGGTGCCTCTCCATATCCTGGTAATGCAGGACGGACGCAGGGGGGAATTGCTGCCACAGAAAGAAAATATTGCAGGATTTCCACAGTCCCAGGGCAGGGACAGCAGGCAAGAGGGATGGCAGGTGCTCGGGGCTGGGAAGAGCAAGCTGGATGGGAACAGAACCCCAGCCTGGGAGAATTGGAAAGTTCTAGAGCTGAGGGCAGTGCAGGAGGTACAGCCATGAGGGTACTTGGGGCCACTGAATGTCCCAGGACACAGGCACTAGCAGTGCATTTTAGCTTCCATATGTTTTAAGATTAACAACAAGCTGGGGGGAGGGAAGCTCATCTTGTCCTGAGGCCAATAAGGCTTGGCAGCTGGGAGCAGCTGAGCTTGGGGTTCCCGTGAGTACCAGCACATGCTCCCCATGTCCACCCACAGACTTCCAGCACAGTCTCATGGCACGCCAGCTCAGCAGTGTTCCTGCAGCCCTATCTCTGCTGCCATCACTGGGCAAGCAGGCATGGGCAGCAGGGCCGACGCTCACCTGTTCCCCCGAGACCAAAAATGAGGTAAAGCTCTAGGGAAGTTCCAACATGAGCCCGGTGAGCCCATAGAGCAGCAGGGGAGCGCACGTCCCACCCACCTGGGAGCATCTCGTCAAAGCTGGTCCTGGCCTCAGGATGGCGCAGAAGGGACTTGGGAGTGAAGATGATGAGCTGCAAGACAAGAGGCCCTTGGCATTCTACAGACCTGGGGCACGGGCTGGGCTGGGCCTGAGGACAGTATAGCCAGCCCCAGCTCTGCAGATCCTTCCCAGCCGCTCAGCCCTCACTGCCAGCCCTGTCAGGTAAGCCCTTGCCCTGCTTGGCAACTCAGGCAGTCTGCAGGCACAAGGCTATGACAAGGTTCAGCACTGGGACCACCTTGTGCTACCAACCCATGGGCTGCTGGGAACCTGGCCTTCCCCTGGGCCCCTTCCCTGTCTGGCCCCTTCCCTGTGCCCACTCTCTTCCACACAGGGCTTCCTCTCCCAGCACTCAGTACCCCCGACTGCCCTCCTCTTTCTGAGCTGGGGCCTATGTCTGCTTTGTCTTGGGGGCAACCTAGTCTCCTGACCTCAGGGTCCCTGTACTACCTGCAGGCACCACCCAGGCAGCCCAACCAGAGCCCTGCCCTGTGACGGCACTGCAGGCCAGGGTCCCGGGCAGTGTCATCATGGGCAAGGCCAGGCCACTGACCGGCTTTCGGAAGGGCAGCAGGATCTGACGGCGCAGGACATGGAAGAAGTTGCCAGGCGTGGAGCAGTTGACGACCACCCAGTTGCAGTCATACAGCTGGCTGATGTCAAAGTTGTCTTCATTGAGGTTCTGTGTGGAGGGATGGCCAGAGACCGGGCAGCACTGAGCCTTGTGGTGGCACTGGGGGCAACTCCCCGTAGCTCAGCAGGCCCATCCCTGAGTCGCCCACTGCTGGGAACTTCTGCTTGACGCTATTTTAGGAGACCCAGTTCCACCTACAATCAGTTCTGATTTTCCTTAGAGCCCCACTCCCCAGCTGCCTTGGCTCAGCTCCCGGAATCTCAGTTAAATTGCCCCAAAGTGTCCCTGTCCAGTCAGCCTGGGCCCACAGCATGCTATCAGCAACACTGGGGTGTGTCCACAGTAGCTCCACATGTCCCCTTCTCATGAAGGGACTGCAGCAGGCAAAGGGGATCTGCTGCCCCTGGTCCCAGCCAGGGAAAGACCACTAGGGGAGACCCAACGGGATCTGCTCCCCAGCGTTCCTGCCAGTTTTCTGCTCACCGGCAGGACATCTGGGTCATCGTTGCACATCTGCAGGAACCGCTCTGGGCGTGCAGAGGAATGTTCCGGCCCCTAGGACAGACACACGAGTTGGCTTGGGAACTCCCTCTGCCCTCCCACCGGTTCAATGCCTTGCCCTCACTGCTCATGCCATGTGAGGCCAGCACCCAGCCTGGGCTCACCATGCCTTCCATGCCATGGGGTAGCAGCAGCACGATGCCATTCTGCCGCACCCACTTGGCCTGTCCAGGGCAGATGAACTGGTCAATGATGCACTGTGCTGTGTTGTGGAAGTCACCAAACTGGGCCTCCCAGAGCACCAGGGCATTGGGGCTGGCCATGGCGAAACCCAGTTCGAAGCCTGTGGGGGACGGAAGGAGAGCCACGTCACGGCTGTCAGCAGTGGTGAGAGGGGCTGTGGGTGTGGGGGCTGTGGGTGCAGGGGCTCACCCAGCACGCCGTACTCAGACAGCGAGCTGTTGCACACTGTGTAAGGCGCCTGGTTGGGCCACAGGTGGTTCATGGGGATGCAGGTCCTCTTGTCCACGTTCTGATCATGGAGCACGTGGTGGCGGTGGCTGGGGCGGAACAAGGAGCTGTGAGCATGTGCTGCAGCTGCCACAGCCTTCGCCTCGAGCGACCCTCAACGGAGCCTATCCCAGGCAGGACCAGAACACCAGAATGCCCAACTGTTTCCCCAGGCGTGTCCCGAGTGTCACCTGAAGGTGCCGCGCTCCACGTCCTGGCCGCTCAGTCGGATGTGGATGCCCTCCTTGAGGAGTGAGCCGAACGCCATGTACTCGGCCAGAGCCCAGTCCACGGTCCGGTTCTTGACCAGCTCCCCGCGCGTTTTCAGGATCCGGCTCAGGCCTGCAGACACACAGCCCTCAGTGCCACAGGCCTGGCTGCGTGGCGGCTCCCCGGCCCAGCTTCTGCTGAGGGGCCAGCCTGGCCCAGTTACCTCCGTGGATGGTGAAGTTCTCCACGGGCACTGAGCTGGCCACGTTCCCGATGTGTGTGAGGACGTCCTCCGGGAGGCCCGTGGAGGGGCACGACATGCTCCGAGGCTGTCCGTCCAGTGTGAAGAAGCCTGCAGGGGTCGGGAGGGTGGGCTGAGGCATGGCAGCCACGAGCCGGGGGGGATACGCGCACAGCCCACTGCTCTGCCGCCAGCCCAGGTCACAGTGCCTGGGAACCCGAGGCCCAGGGCGCTCTGCCGCCAGCCCAGGTCACAGTGCCTGGGAACCCGAGGCCCAGGGTGCTCTGCCGCCAGCCCAGGTCACAGTGCCTGGGAACCCGAGGCCCAGGGCGCTCTGCCGCCAGCCCAGGTCACAGTGCCTGGGAACCCGAGGCCCAGGGTGCTCTGCCGCCAGCCCAGGTCACAGTGCCTGGGAACCCGAGGCCCAGGGCGCTCTGCTCACCAGCCAGGTCACAGTGCCTGGGAACCGAGGCCCAGGGCGCTCTGCCGCCAGCCCAGGTCACAGTGCCTGGGAACCCGAGGCCCAGGGCGCTCTGCTCACCAGCCCAGGTCACAGTGCCTGGGAACCCGAGGCCCAGGGCGCTCTGCCGCCAGCCCAGGTCACAGTGCCTGGGAACCCGAGGCCCAGGGCGCTCTGCCGCCAGCCCAGGTCACAGTGCCTGGGAACCCGAGGCCCAGGGCGCTCTGCTCACCAGCCCAGGTCACAGTGCCTGGGAACCTGAGGCCCAGGGCGCTCTGCCGCCAGCCCAGGTCACAGTGCCTGGGAACCCGAGGCCCAGGGCGCTCTGCTCACCAGCCCAGGTCACAGTGCCTGGGAACCCGAGGCCCAGGGCGCTCTGCCGCCAGCCCAGGTCACAGTGCCTGGGAACCCGAGGCCCAGGGCGCTCTGCTCACCAGGCCAGGGTGAATCGAGCCAGTGCTTGATGTGCAGGATCTTCTCATCCTTGGACCGGGCAAAGGCTTCCTCGCAGATCTTGTCGTACTTGGAGATTTCCTCCTGGAGGGGCAGGCACGCACGGGACAGCTGCCTCGGCTGCGCACACCTGCCCAACCCTCACCCTGCATCCCTGGAACTCTTTTCCTCTCGTACAGCAGCTGGCTACAGACTGTGGTCCCCTTTCTTGTCCTCACTCCTCGTGCAGCCCTGGGACACGGGGCTCCAAAGCTCTGCCCCATCTGCTTCCCACACATGTCCCCGGGGTGCCTGCCAGAGCTGCCATGGCCATCCACAACGGTCTGCCCGCAGTCTGCCCCACTCCTGACTGAGCACCATCTGCAGAGGTCAGTCTCCCTCACTGTGACTCGGGGCTGCCCCCTGGTGGCCTCCCCGGGAACCAGGACACACCTCATACTCAGGCTGGTTGACCACACCCTGAGCCACCAGCAGCTCCGCGTACTTCTGCAACACGGGCTTCTGCTTGCGGATCTGCTTGTACATCAGTGGCTGCGTGAACATGGGCTCGTCCATCTCGTTGTGGCCATTGCGCCGGTAACACACCTGGTCAGGGCAGGGCCATAGGTGCTGGATCAATCAGCTCTTGGAAAGGAGCGTCAGAGGGGCTGGGCCCCTTGTGGCTCCCTGATCTGCCTCAGTTTACCTTCTTTAAAGTTAGGATCCTGTATTCCTGACACACAGCAAGGTTCCCTGGCTACGAAATGAGAGTGATGGGAGCCCGTGTGGGGTCTGAGGTCAGGAGGGCTCAGGGTGGTCCTGCGGCCCAGCCTGACTCCTGGGCCAGGATGCTGGTGCTGAAGGGGGGGGCACTGGGACCAGCTGCCTGGTGCCACTCACCAGGTCAACGACCACGTCCTTGTGGAAAGTGCTCCTCCACTCGGCCGCGACCTTGCACACATACATCACAGCCTCGGGGTCATCCGAGTTCACGTGGAAGATGGGAGCGTTCACCACACGGGCCACGTCAGTGGGGTACGGGGAGGAGCGGGCCATCCGCGGGTCTGTGGTGAAGCCAATCTGCGAGGAACACACATGGCATCCCAGTAAGAGGCCCAGCAGGCTAAGGCCAACTCAGCTCCTGCCCTGTCTCTGCCACCTCGATCAGGGGTAGCAGGAATTCAAGTACTTGAGGCATCATCTATTGCCTTCCCAAGAGCCAGGACTCAGTAGAACCTAGCAACCATGCGACACACTTCTCCCAAGCATTGGCCTTTTTCAAGAGTATTTTGTTTTTATAACTCCATAATGGAGTGTCTCTGCTTCTGGTCCAGCTTCCTGCTAATATGTATATGCTGGAAGCCAGCAGGTGATGGTTCCAATGCTTTGGCTTGACCCAGCTGTAACTGTTGCAGACATCTGGGGAGTGAACCAGCAGATGGAAAATTCTATCATTCTATCTTTCAAGTGGATGAAAATTGAAAAATTAAAATGAGAGGGAGAAACAAAAAGAGTCCCACTTCCACTCGTTCAGCCCCCAAGTGCCCCAGGTGGCTAGCCTGGACTGGAGCTAAAAACTCAATCCAGGTCTCCATGTGCATGGCAGCAACCCAACTGCCAGGGCCGTCACTGCCTCCCGGGGAGCATCAGCAGCAGGCCAGGGTCAGGAGATGAACGGGGCACTGAGCCCAGGCAGCTCAATGTGGGGATGGTATCTGCCCTGGCACTCTTAAGCACGACGCTCAACACGTGCTCTCACTCACGTGTATAAGAGAGAACAGGGCCCAGCATGGTAGCCTAGTGGCTAAAGTCCCTGCCTTACACGCTCTGGGATCCCATATAGGCACCGGTTCTAATTCCGGTGGCCCTGCTGCCCATTTAGCTCCCTGCTTGTGGCCTGGGAAAGCAGTCGAGGATGACCCAAAGCCTTGGGACCCAGAACCCACGTGGGAGACCCGGAAGATGCTCAGGCTCCTGGCTTCGGATCAGCACAGCAGCAGCCATTGCAGTCACTTGGGGAGTGAATCATCGGACGGAAGATCTTTCTCTCTGTCTCTCCTCCTCTCTGTGTATCTGACTTTGTAAGAAAAATAAGTAAATCTTAAAAGAAAAAAAAAAAAAAAAAAAAAGAAGAGAGCGAACAAACATCACTAAGCAAGCTGCATTGTCCAGGCACAGGGGCCGGAGTCACCTGGTTGTTGACGACCACATGCACGGTGCCGTGGGTCGTGTAGGATGGCAGGTCACTGAGATGGAAGGTCTCGTACACGATGCCCTGGCCAGCGAAGGCGGCGTCCCCGTGCAGGAGGATGGACATGACCTATGGACAACAAGGGAGCTCGGATCCACCAAGTCCCAGCATCCAGCCCCAGGGCAGGCAGAGGACACGGGTGGCCATTCGAGACAACTTCCCACTTAGAAAGAGGGTAGCAGGGGGTACGTGGACGGCAAAGCCAAACCCACCCCAACACCTGCCGCCCAGGCTCCGTCTGCTTTGACATGCCAGACTCGCACAGGAGCACCAGGGGCTGCCCACAGGAGGGGAGCACCGCCCCAAAGCTCCCCCTGGCCCAGGGGCTGCCTGGTCACAGCAGCCAGCATGGGGCGGGGTGCTCTGGCCTGCATTTTACTTCTGTGAAGAGACACTGTACGCTGCTCCCCACCAGGCCCGACGGTACAGGCCAAGGGTTGATCTGTCACCCCTTTATGCTCCCTCCCCTCTCTGCCTATGCACCCACAGAGGGTGCAGCTGCCACTCCTGCTGCTTCTCTGGCTGTCCTGACCCTGGGCATCCGCCAGCCCTCAGCAGTCACCTCGCCCTGGAAAGCCTGTTTCCTCTAGCAGAGGATGGACGTGCGTCTCCCTCAGGACCACACACGCATGCCACTGACAGCACCAGCGGGCACTCGGTCCCTGAACGTGTGTCTGTGATTTCTTTATCTTTGATAAACATGGCAATCAAAAACACTCAAACACAGGCCCACATGTGTGCTGTTTTGGCAGACTAAGCCACAGGCACTGCATGGCCTGCTACCCTGGCGCTGTGCTTGCTGTAGGCGAGCGCTTTCCAGCCTACTCCTGTCTGCCACAATCCCAACAGGGACCCTGGGTTGCAGCTTCTTGTCAGCACTGTTCAGGATCATAACATCACAGGCAAGGCAGTGGCCGGCAGCTTAATGTCCACCCCGACGGCAACAGGACCCTCTGCTGTTGCCTGTGGACAGGCATCACTAGGGCAGATGTCACCGAGTCCGGTCGCAGGTTATGGGACCTACGTCGCAAGTTTGGAAATAATGCAGTTTCTCACATGGGACATCCGTGAGTGAAAACCCGCCCACTGCAGGCACGCCGGAACAGCAGCAAGGAGAGCAGGCAGGGGCGGAGGCTGCTGCGAGCCCTGGCGGGGCCCTGGGAGGGAGGTCTGGGGCCAGGGGGCCTAGCAGCTTTCTCTGACCCAGGGACGGGGCTTGCAAGGTCCCTGTGCTGGCCTCTGACCAAGGACCCAGGTGCTGCCCTTCTGGTGGCCTGCAGCACCCTGCATTGTTTGCTCTCGGTCCATTCCTGCCCAGGCGCCTCCAGCACTGCAGCTAACCTTTGTCACAGTGCATTTCTGCCCATGCTTGTGAATGTCAAGGTCACCAAGGTTTTTGCCATCTCCTGTGCCATTCAGCCCCCACCCTATGCAGTGTGGCAGTGGGGGTGCTTCAGGCATGTGGATTTGGCTCTTGTTCCAGGAGCAGTCCTGGCCAGGTCTTCCAGCATCATCCGTGACCACAGAGGCTGCCTGACCTCACACAGCCCAGGCCTCACCCCACAGCAGCGTCTGCAGCCGCAGCCCTGGCTACAAGCTGAGGCTATAGGGCCTTCCCCTCCCTGAGGAAGGCTGTCCTTCCCAGGGTCTCGACACTGCTCTGAGACCCAGGGGGCAGCTTTCTGTGCTCCAAGGTTCCGAGCACAGCTAGGCCATTCATGCTGGGGCTACTGGCTCTGCATCTGACACAGATGCACCAGCTCTGCCTGGCCCTCTTCTGCCCAAAGCACCTGCTGGCAGAGATGCTCAGCGGAGGCTCCGAGAACAGCAGGAGCCTCCCTATGCCTTCAGCTCCCTCACACCTCTCCTTCATAAACATGTCCTGCTCTGTCAGTTAGCTGTGAGACAGGGTGAAGGCATGGCCCACTGCACTGTGTTCTGTGGAGCACTCTGGGAACATGAGCCAGAGGTCTGCCCAGGATGCCCTGGCCTCACCTTCTTCCCCTCGGTGTCCCCGCAGTAGAACTGCTCAGCTTTGGTCTTTCCCATGACCACAGGGTCCGCGGCCTCCAGGTGGGATGGGTTTGCCACCAGGGATAGAGTGATGTTCCTGTCGGTTACTCGGTTGATCCTGCGGTGGTACATGCCCAGGTGGTACTTGACATCTCCGGAACCCTGGTGGTGCGAACAGTAAGTGGGTCCCTGGTGGGCGGGCTCCCTCGCCCTGCAGCCACTCAAAAGGGCAGTCCCCAGGCACAGGAAGGAGGCCCATTGGCCAGAGGGGACAGCTTTGCCAATGTTCCGGGTTACAAGGAAAATGGTAGCTGCCCAGGACGTATGCGTATGTATGCGAGTGTGTGTGTGTGGGGGAGGTGTCATCGGCTGCCAGGGACATGTGCATGGGGGGTTATGTGTATTAGGGGGAGGGGAGGCTCATCTCATTGGCTGCCTAGGACACTGCATGGCGGAGCTATGTACATGTGTTGCGGGGAGTCGGGGCGTACCTCATCAGCTGCCTCCAGCTTGGAATCAAACTGACAGAAGATCTGCTCGAGCTCCTTCCGGATGACGTTGGCAAGCACGTTCAGCCGCCCCCTGGGACGGAGGTGAGTAAGCGTGGCCCTGAGCCTGGCCAGGAGGCCCGGGCCACACACAGGGTGGCGGAGCAGAGCAGGTACCGCAGCACTCTGTACAACCCTTGTTGTAGCTTGTGCCCAATGAAGCCCTGGGGTTTGTTTCTTTCAAACAATGCAGTGCGAGGCCCACATGAGCCTAAAACACACATGACCCTGGCAGTGACCACATCTGCAGAGCTATCCTGGGGCAGGGGTGCGGGGAGCCCCTAGGGAGCTCACGGCCGGCCGTGAGCATGCGGGGCTGTACCTGTGCGGCATGCCCATGATCACGTAGTCCACGCCGTTCTCACTTGACTTGTCGATGATGGTCTTGAGTGCGGGGATGAGCACCTCGCAGCCTTCCAGCCCAAAACGCTTTTCAGAAGACCACTTCCTCTGCAGGAACTCCTCAAACCTGCACAGCAGACAGAGCACCCTGAGGACGGGTGCTGTGGCCCTGGGGCTGGGCCTACCCGCCTGGCTATCCTTCCCACAAATGGTTGTCAATGTGTGCCAACATGCGCACACCTGGTGGAGCGCACAAGACGGGCCAGCAGTGTCCGCTTCTCCTCATTGGTGAATTGCATGACCCCGGGTGTCTCGAATTTCTGCCGGATCCACTGGCACTGCTCCAGGTCATTAATGAACATGAACTCCACCCCGATGTGCTGGCAGTAGGCCATCTGTGGCATGCAGAGGAGAGGGCATGGTCAGTAGGGCCGGGCAGAAGGATTTCCCCCTGTAACACTCCTGAGTGCATATGCCCAGGGGAGCAGAGCCACAGGTGGACGGGCTGTTCTCACGCTGATCTAGGACCGGCAGTGTGACCAGGCCACTAGGGGCTCAAGGGCCATTCAGGAATTTCAGGCTTTTATGTTTTCAGTTTCATGAGCCCGGTGCCATGGCCTAGCAGCTAAAGTCCTCGCCTTGAATGCACCAGTTCTAATCCTGGCAGCCCTGCTTCCCATCCAGCTCCTTGCTTGTGGCCTGGAAAGCAGTCGAGTTAAGCCCAAAGCCTTGGGACCCTGTGCCCACGTGAGAGACCCAGAAGAGCTCCAGGCTCCTGGCTTCAGATTGGCACAGCAACAGCTGTTGTGGTCACTTGGGGAGTGAATCATCACATGGAAGATATTTCTCTGTCTCTCCTCCTCTTCTCTCTCACTTTGCAATAAAAATATATAAATAAGTAAGTGTGATTGCACATGTGACCAAAACAGGTCCTGGGGGCTGGACTGCGATGCCAGCACTCCATACGGGCAGTGGATCAGTCCTGGCTGCTGCATTTCTGTTAATGTGCTGGGAAGGCAATGGAGCTGTAGTGAGAACCTGTACTACCCTGGCCCCAGGGACTCCCACACCTCAGTACATGACATCCAGGACAGGACTGCCACAGCTCTGAGAGCCCAGCTCCTCCAGGTTCCCTCCTGTGATCCCATTTGGCTTTCTTGAGACAGGATCTGGGGGCACGGCCATGGCAGGGCTCGCTGCGTCTCCAGTCACTTGCTCCCTGTTCTCTGCAGAGCCAAGTCACCACAGACTCTGCCTGAAACTTGGACACAGTCACAGAGCCCACTCTCACAGGTGAAGAGAAAATACTGCTGGGAAAGGCTGAGGGATCCAGCAGCCTTTGATTAGTCCCAAATCTGATTCTCGAAGACCCGGAGGGTGTTCAAACCAGCACTTTGAGAGCTGGTGGCATCAGAGGGCCAGAAAGGTTGTCATCAGCCCGTCTTCCCTGCACAGCTGCACGCAGCCACTGTACCATTTCCTCGTTAAAGACTTTCAGGGACCAGAAGCAAACACCACACAACCCATGGCCCGAGGACCTGCTACAGGAAGCCTAGCATGCAACTCTTCCCTCTCCCTGCAGGCTCCCAGCGTAGGCAGCTTCGCTCATCCCAAGGAGCCTGTTGGGACACTTGTGGCAGTGGCGACTCTACCCAGGTCATGGCCAAATCGTCCCTGCAGAGGTGGCCGGTGGGCTGGAGGGGCTGCTTTCACCCCACCCCTGCTCCCACCCCACCCAACACTGCAGAGCACCTCTCCACAATCTGCTGAATCAGCCATGTGCTTGAACCCCACTGTGTTTTCTGTCCTGGCCTTGGCTGTTTGGTGAAAAGCTAGCAGGTGTGATGGGCCGATTCTTAGCTTCTCTCTCTACAGGCCAATTTTAGAAAGACAGGAAGTTGTATCTTCTCTGATCCTATGACCCCTTGTCATATGGCCAACAGCACAAGGTTGCTTCACCACCAGCTGCACTCTCAGCCGTGGGCACTGGGATGGGCAGTGCTGTGGCTTGGGCCTGTGTGCTCTCCACAAGGTGGGATGAGCCTAGTGGGCAGGCAGGATTGGGATCAAGTGCCCTGTGGACCCTGGGAATCCTGATCCCATGGGAGCTTCACAAGGCACTGCTGGACTCCCCACTGAGGACCCTGCGAAGGGCAGGTGCCCCATGCATGGAATGCTTCCACAACTGCTGTCTGAGCACATCACTGCAGAGCCCAGAGGAGGTGGGACACATGACCCGTCAAGGGACTTGGACAGGTCCTTGGAGGCCTGGTCTCTGTGGGGGTCATCCATGGTCTTGGCAACATGACAACTTCCTGGCCAGCAAGTTCCCGCAGCAACAGGAAGGCAAGGATGGGCATCTGGTACCAAGGTGAGAGGTCAAAGTGGGCGCTGCATCAATAGTCCCAATTTCAGCTCTGCTCGTGTTTGCCCTGGGAACAGCTGCCCAAGCATCCAGTGGGCCTGTCAGGGACACCAGGAGCCGTGAGTGGACTCAGCACCTAGGAGCTGATGAGACTCTGGCACCCGTCTCACCATCCTGAGAATTCCTCGGTTGAGGAGAGCTGGAACAGCAGGCAACAGCACAGTGACATGTCCACTAAGGCTAGAACAGACCTCTCACCCCAGCGTGCTCTCCATCTGCAATGGGCTCTGTGGTCAGTGTCATGGCTCTGACCCATGCCTGATTCAGGCATAGGAAGGAGAAAGCAGACAGAGCCAAAGGATAAGGAAAGGAGGGGGCAGAAAAGGAGCAGCCAGCCACAAGCCCTGGGCCCTCTGAGGAGTCATGCCTGCTTGCACCCATCCTGGGGGGGAGCGAGGGTCTAACATGAGCTTTCTTGGGGGGCTAGCCTTCGGACACACTCTGCTTCCATTCATCTTCCTACGGTCAGCAGATGATGGCTCAAGTCCTTGGGCCCCAAAATCCATTCAGTAAACTGAGACGGGGCTGCTAGCTCCTGTCCTGGGCCCAGCGCAGGCCTGGCCTTTGCAGGTAGCGGAGAGTAAAGCAGAAGGTGAATGCCCTCTCCGCCTTCCAAGTCAATCCACAGGAAGCAGAAATGTTGCTCCTCTGCTTCTCTCTTTCATATGCACCTGCTCAGAAAGGGCAGTGCCCAGGGCCCACGCTCGCTCTCACCTCCAACCGGCGGATGATCTCCCGAAGGGGCAGCGCCGACTCCTGTCCGCCGATGAACGTGGTGGTGGGCAGGTGAAAGACCTTGTCCAGGTCCGACTCGTCCAGGCCGTAGAACCCTGCAGGTCACGTGGGCAGGACAAGCCGGGCGAGGAGGGACAGGGCGAGCCATAAGGGACCACAATTTAGGGAAGGGGAGGAACACCCCAGGCAAGTAAAAAGAGAAGAAAAAATCATATAAAAAACCCTGACATGCACGGACACAAGTGATACATACAATCAGAAACTGAAACTGTAGCAATACATGTCACAGGGCAGTCAGAATCAAGCTCCCATTATGAATATATTAGTCCAGCACACCAATTAGTCACAATTTAGAGACAAATTTCAAGGTCCCAAGTTTGGGGCTGAGAAGAGGCCAGGAGAAGGCACAGTGTAAGTCAATCAAACAGCAAGAAGAGTTAAGGAGGGAATTAAAACAGGAAGTGAGGAACTGGTGGTGCACTGCCTGCAACAAAACTGCATGTATGCCACCGGAGACAAAGAGCTGGGACCACGATGCGGGCAAAGCTGCTGTCAGGAGCCAAGCGGTCCATGGAGAGCTACGGGGATGGGCACGCAACTCCCAGAGGGACGGTATGGACACTCCTCTCTCCAAGACAGCAGCTGCAGTCAGCACCCTGAGGCAACACCAGGCTCAGGGCTACCCTTCCTCTGCCCTGGCTCTCCCTTTGGCCTGCAAGCACATGCTCCACCAGAGTGAAGGCAGTGCTCAGGTGCCCGCAGCAACCATCAAAGCAGAGCTGGCAGGTGCACCCAGATTCTATGCCCCACGTGGTACCTTCTCTGACATGACCTGCAGCGGGCCCTGGGGCAGAGGGCCCTGGGGCAGAGGGCATGGTCGAGGAGCAAAAGCATGACCAGCTCAGGCCAATGTTCCCTCAGCTTCAGGCAAGAGCGGGCTGCCCACAGGGCCTGGCAGCTGGCATGACTGTGTGCACAGTCTCATGGTTTCCCAGCCACAAGTGCACACACGAGCCACTGAGATGCATGGCAGTTTGCAAACAATTGTGGATGCCAGTCTCCTGCATTTGTAGAAATGTACATTTCCAGGCTCCAGCCCTAGGGCTGACCTGCTTGGTTTGGGATGGCCCAGGAGTCTCCTTAATCGATCTCATGGTGTGGGATGTTTTTCAAGTCTTAAAGGTACTGTTATTCAAACACTTTTGCCTTTACTTAGACAAGCACAGGTGTCTCGGTCCAGTCCGTCCCACCCTGTTCTGCTCCTAGTTAACCCCAGGAAGCACCAGGCGCTGCCACCAGCGGCCTGGTTGCAGGCAATGGCCCTATGGTGTCCACAGGCCAGAAACACAATCATTTCAGAAACTGCTCTCAGCTGATGAGAAAACTCAGGTCGGAGGCCCCTGTGTGTCAAAGAGTGCATGCTCCCAAAGGACACTGCCTGTTTGTCCCCACTTCCGCCTGCACGATTCAGGGCTCCTGGGGGACACTGCCGGGCCTGAGATCACTGCTAGCTCTGCTGCCAGCTCCCCACTCAGGCAGCTGAGAAACCAGGCCTCTAGGTGTTGGCCTGTGGGCGTGGAGTGGACCCATTTTCCCCGTGCCCCTTGTAGGCACAGTTAAAACCCTGGGTGCCACTTGCGCTGCGCAGCCAAGCGGCCCCAGGTTTCCTTCTGGCCTCCGACACTCCAGATCCCGAGCAGAAGACAGAAGAAGCTGGGACCAAGGACAGATGGAAGGAAGGGGCAGCTGAGCAGATGGAAACTTCCAGACCATAACAGGCCTACTCTGCAGCGCCGTCCCCAGCCTGTGGGATCAGGGTGGTACCCTGCCCTTCTCCTCCTGACCCTCATCACAGCTGAGACGTCCTGCCTTCCCTAAGAACACCCACAGGCTGGGCAGGAGTGTCCCCTGGGGGCTCAGTGCAGCTCTCCCTCATGGAGCATCGCGCAGTTAGGATTGAGCAAAGGCAAACACATGAAGTCATGGTCAGTGAAGCACCGGCAGAAAGAACACCCCCTCGGAAACACTCAGAAACCTTGTCACTGGACAGGAGCCACGGCAGGATGAGAGGGTCAGGGTCAGGCGGTGCAGAAAATAGGAAGAGTAGCAATGCAGCTATCTGAAGAGCAGCAGGAACACAGACCTACTGGGACCCGCGACACAGTCAGACGCTTCTGCATCTGCGTGGAAGAAGCCCTGGAGCCGAGAAGCTGACGAGCTCAAAGGAGTCATGCGAGGCCCTGACCCTGGGGTCCAGAGAAGGAGCCCGCACAAAGCCAGGCCACAACACTGATGCCTTGTGAGAGTGACAAGGGCAGAGGCTCTCAGGCGGCCACAGTGAGGGATGGCTCGCCAGGAGCGAAAGGGAAAGCACGGGGGAAGGGGCTGTTCAGGAGCTGCCCACCTAGATGCCCAGGAAAATGAAAGTGATCCAGAGGGTCCCAGATGAAGGGACACTAAGGCACCTCCCCCTGAGCAGCCAGGCTGAGAGGGCGGCCAGTGGAAGCCCCCCGAAGGCACGGCAAGGACTCCTAGAATGTCAGCCAAGTTCAGGGAAACCCAACCTGGTCAAGGCAGCAGACCCGCCTCCCATCTCCTGCATCACTGCTGCCACGCTGCTCAATACCGCAGCAGAAACAGCATGACCACAAACACCAGGCAGATCAGGAAAGCACAGAAATGAAAAACAGCAGGAAAAATAATAAAACGCAGACTAAACCCTACCTCATTCATAACTACATTAAGCATAAATAATTTAAGTGTTTCAAATAAGACAGATACTGGGAGGGTAGACTTGAAAAAGAGCACTCAAATACAGGCTAATCTAAGAAACTCCTCTGCACAAGATACAGGCAGGCTCAAAGTAAAAGGCTGCGTTGGGGGTCACATGGCAGCAGGCTGAGCTGGGACCCTGACAGCCGACCCTGGAGCCCTGCTGCCCACCCCAATCCAGCCTCCTGCTGAGGCACCCTAGGGGCAGCACTGGCTTCTATCACCTCCTGGGGAGCACCTGGATGGAGTGCCAGGCTCCCGGCTGAGCAGAGAGCTGCACTGGCTAATGTAGCCACTTTGGAGAGTGAGCCAGCAAAGACGGAAGATCTCTGTCCATCAGACTGCCTCTCGAACAAATAGGTAAGCAAATACATAAACCTTAAAAAGAAAGAAAGGAACAATGCAGGTGGGCGTTGGGTGCAGTGCTGGCTGCCTGGAGTGCTTTGCACACAGCGGCCCGAGTGTGCGTTCTCTGCCCTTCACACAGGAGCTCTAGCCTGAGTCCAGGACTCCTGCTTCGGCCTGGCCATCGGGAGAGTGAGTCACACAGTGGACAAGCTCTGCCTCTCCTTCCAACCAGATAAACAATAGCTTTGAAAAAACCTTCAAGAATGAAAAATTATATGGCCTAAGCATTCATTAAAGCAGGAGGTAGCTATGCTAATTGCAAACAAAGTTGACCTCACAGCAAAGAAAACGACCAGACATACAGGCACATTTGTCCTGAAAAAAGCTCAGCCTACTGAAAAGCCACGGCTGCGGTGTGCATGCCTGAGCAGGGGAAATGTCCAACAGGTGACCCCAAACCTGAAGAGGCTGAACCGATAAGCAGACAAACTAACACCTTCGTGGCTAAAAACTTCAACACCCCTTTCAACAAATGACCCAAACCAGACAAAGCCAGCAAGATCAGGGAATAAGCAACAGCAGCGCAAGGTCTATACTGACACGATCTTCTGCTTCTCATGCGACTGACGGCCAAGGCAGCCAACATCCTGGACCATTACGGAACAGGGGGAGTCCAATGCAAGTCTACTGGCTAACGTCCTCAGCTTGCACGCGCTGGGATTCCACATGGGCGCTGGTTCGTGTCCCAGCAGTCCTGCTTCCCAACCAACTGCCTGCTTGTGGCCTGGGAAAGCAGTCGAGGACGGCCCAAAAAGCCTTGGGACCCTGCACCCATGTGGAGAACGGAAAGAGGCTCCTGACCCCTGGCTTTGGATTGGCTCAGTTTCAGCCATTGCAGCCACTTGGGGAATGAATCAGTGGATGGGAAGATCTTTCTCTCTGTCTTTTCTCCTCTCTGTGTATCTTTCCAATAAAAATAAAAATCTTACAACAAACAACAGGGACTTGCACGGTGGCGCAATAAGCGAATCCTCTACCTGTAACACAAGCATCCCACACAGGTGCCAGTTCATGTCCCAGCTGTCTGCTTATGGACTGGGAGAGCAGTGGAGTAGCCTTGCACCCTGCACCATCTGAGAGACCTGGAAGAAGCTCCTGGCTCCTGGCTTTGAAGTGGCATAGCACTGGCCAATGCGGCCAGTTGGGGAGTGAATCATTGGAGGGAAGATCCTCTTCTCTGCGTCTCCTTCAATATATATAGTTGACTTTGCAACAAAAATAAATATATCTTAAAAAAGGTAAATTCAAAAAAAAAAAAAAAGGGAGGGAGGGAGAAGACAGAGATCACCGATTCAGGATGAAATGCATCAGTGCAGAACCTCTAGCTTACCTAGACAGCTCACACATCCTAAGCGAGAGTACCAACTCTATTTGGTTTAAGGAAGAATTAACACCAATTAAATACAATCTCTTGCAGAAACAGAAAACTTCTCAGTTCAAATTCTGAAGCCAGAATCACTAGTAATGGGCCTGGTTCAATGGCTCAGTTGGTTAACTGTCCCCTTGCACATGTTGGGATCCCATACTGGCACAGGTTCGTGTCTTGGCTGATCCACTTGTGCCCCAATTCCCTTCCAGCTCCCTGCCAGTGGCCTGGGAAAGCAGTGGAGGACGGTCCAAAGCCGTGGGACCCTGCACCCACTTGGGAGATAAGGAAGAGGCACCTGGCTTCTGGTTTCAGATCAAGTCAGCTCCAGCTGCTGCAGCCATTCAGAAAATGAACCAGGGAATAGGTCTTTCTCTTTATCTCTCCTTCTCTTTGTAAATTTTTAAATTTTTACCTTTGCAGTAAAAAAACCAAAACAAAACAGCAAAACTAAAAACAAACAAACAAAAACAGTGACAAAAGCAAAGATAGAGTAAAAAAATCATATAGACCAATGTTCCTCATGGCTATGGACGCAAAAAATCTATGGGTCAGCACAGCCGGAGTGATGCACAGAAAGGAAGTACCATAATTAGGTGGGGCTGAGTCTAATAAGTAAAAGTCTGGTTATTTAATCAGTACAATCTACCACATTATTCAGTTTCCACAGTCAGGAAGACAAATCCATGAGCATTACTGAAGAGACATGGAAATCATCTGATGTAATTCCACCCCCATTCATAGTACGAACTATGTAGAACTTGACTGGGAATCCACCAAGAGCCAACAGCAAACAGCACAGTCACCGGTGAAAGCCTGTGAGTGCTCCCAGCAGCACAGGCACGAGAACTACAGGACGCGGAGGACAGTGAGGACACATAGCCGGGAGAGGCTCCTACGTCATCAGGACACCCCAAGGAGCTTACCCTCCAAAGTACATCAAGGTCACGGGATAGAATGTAACATACATAAACTGCATTTCTGTACATTATCAATGAATACGCAAACACAAACATTAAAATAAATACTAACCAAATACGCAAAGAACTTAAAAGCGAAAATTTAAAAACCTGAGAAAAGAAACCAAAGCTTTCAATAAGTGGAGAGACATACGGTGTTTATATATTGGAGGGCAACACAGTAAAACTGCGCATTCTTCATTTACCACGGTTCCTATCGGAGTGTTGGCCACGTCACGTGTAGACAGAGACGCACTAATTCTAAACGGTATCAGGAAAAGCAGAAGGCCTAGACTAACAACAATCCTGAAAACAGAAAGACAAGCCAGAACGGCTCTGGGGGAAGGACACGGAGATGAAGGGAGAATGGCAAATGGCCTACTGCTCGTCATGCCATCACTACACGACGGAATGCTGGCCCTGTCCCATGCTCAGCTGCCTGCTGAAGCACCCAGGGAGGCAGCAGGTGACAGCCAAGCAGCTGGGGTCCTACCACCCACGTGGGACACACAGATGGGAGGTTCTTGGCTTCTGGCTTGGGCCTGGCCTGCTCTGGCCACTGGGGCCATTAGGGGAGTAAACGGTTGAATGCAAAATCTCTGTCACTGTGCCTTTCAAATAAATACACCTTAACAAAAAGTAAGAAAATAAAAAAAAACCCAGGGGTAGATGCCCAAATCTAATTGCTGATGAAAGACAGAAGCAATTCAATGCCAGGAGGGAGGGCCTTTCAACTAATGGTGCCAGAGCACCCATAGGCAAAATCAGAATTAAAACCCTCAATCCAAAGTTCACACTTCCCACAGCAAGTGTTCAGAGCTGTGAAACCTGCAGAACACACAAGAGTCTGAGCTGTCGGGCCTAGAGCTCCCAGACACCCAGAGCACAGCCCAGGTGAGGCACCCTAATGACTAGCATCATCAGGTCAGCTGCCCTGACTAAGGCCTGCAACAATATGGGGTCCTTCAACGGGTTGCAACGGTCATGACACATCCACTCAGCAGAATGCTGCCGAGTGACTATAGCGGACAGACCACCGGCACACGGCTACCGGTGTGGGTCTCTGGAGGACCAAGCCTGCCCCCAGAAGTCACACACGGACTCTACTTGTGTAACACTTTTGAAACGACACAACCACGGACATAGAGCACAGCAGGGACTGGCTGGATCAAAGGTGGTAAGAGGGCTGGGGAGGGCATCTCCATGTGAAGGCTGCGTGTCTTGGGGCAAGTGCTACAACTCAAAGTGGTACAGTGCACAAGGGGGCCAATGGTGCTCACAGCTGCATATGTACCACAGTTCTTGCTCAGCAGACAGCAGAGTCTCACGGGTATTTATGGCTGAGACAGAGGAGTCGTCTCTTTGAGGAGCCTGGAGTGGAAGAGCTGCGCATGGAGGGGTGTGACAGCAGGCAGATGGCCCAGTGCCTCAACTCTGGAGTCTTCCAACACGCTCTGTGCGAACCTCGGCCAGCAGGGGCACCAGCAGGCTCTCAATGAAGACTGGCTGTCCTTCACCCAGTGAGCACTGGGGGATCCCATTCAAAACGCCTCAGAGCAGAGTCAGCTGGTGGAGTCCAGAGCCTAGCCCAAGCAGTGCTATGATATGTGCAGGACAAGACAAGCCCCCATGCAGAGCCGACACAGCCTCAGGTCCCCATGGCTGCTGCCAGGGATGGATGCTGCCGTGAAGCGGGGAGGATGTCCACGTCAAGGTGAAGGATGTGCTTCAGAACACAATGGACAGGAGAGAGACACCAGGTCAGCAGTTCTACTTATGGGTTACACGAACACAAAAACATCAACAAGCTTTGCAACACCACACGTGAGTTGTGTCAACTTTCCCCAAATGCATGCTAGGAAAAGCTCCACATCCTATCCAAATGAAGCCCTCAGCTTGGCAGGTGACAATCTCTTTAGTTCCATACCTCCTACTGTTAGCATTCGAAGTCGATCCTTGAAAACGGCAAGATCTGAGAGGCAAAGTGGGTGGCAGGGGTGAGTGCGGAAGGAAAAAGACAGGGGAGAGTTAGTTCAGAAAAAGCCAAACACCAAAACCCTGGGTCACCGCCGCACGGACAGACAGCACAGACACTGTCACACGGACACACACTGAAGGGGAAGGGGCGGGTGGTCAGGGGCTCGACGGGAACTGTGCATAGGACAGCTGGAGCACAGGGAAATGGAGCAGGTGAGGATGCCCATGGGACGCTGGGCAGCCCCCAGCGGTGTCAGGGAGGCAGCTGACTGGGTGCTCTGGGCGAAGTCCCATGCCTCACCTGGGCAACTGTTGCACGGGAAACCAAAGATGTGAGACACAAAGCCTCATTTTTGGGGCAGGCGCTTAGGTGGCACTCTTGCGTGCAATGGAAATGAGGAGGCAGCGCTAAGAGCTGTCGGCGGGCCATGCTCAGCAGACCTGGGCCCTCGTGCCTATGCACACCACTTGAATACTCAGAGCCACTGGCCACACAGGGCCCTTGCCGACCTAGGTACCAGGTATGTAGGCTGGGGTCGGGCTCAGGAGCTAGGTGCTGGAGTGCCAGCGTTCTATCTTCAACCTTCTCCACCAAGACGGGAGCCCCAGCAAGAAGCGACCAGCGCTCCACACTGCAGCTCTGTGACGGAGCTGACACCAAGGGAAGTGCATGTGGCTCACTCCTACCCTGAGCCTGGAGGTGCCGTGGCCCAATGACCCACATTCTGGAGGAGGGATGCTGGATGCTTTCTCAGCTATCTGAAACATTCTGCATTTTCAACTTAAAAGGCAAGCGGAAGAGACCAGCAGAGCAGGGTGATGACGATGGTGGTGGTCATTCCAGCCACTGGCCCAGAAGCCCCAGCAGCGTCCAGCTCCCATGCGCCTGCAGCGACCCCTTCCTGAGCAGCACCATGAGGTGCCAGAGCAGACGGCGGGCTTGGGTGACCTTGCCTGAAGTGCAGCAGGGAGAAACTGGGCAGTGGCGTTCAGAGCTAGGGGAACTAGTTCCTGGGGGCCTGCAGTCAAAGACTCCTCTTGTACCCCCACAGATGACCAGGAGAGTGTGCACCAGGACTTCAACCCCTGGAGGTCACCCCTGGTTTGGCAGCACCCTCCTGAGTCCCTCGGGCTACACACAGCAGCCAACACTTACAAAGCAACTGCCCTTTGTCACGCTCTGAAACATGAAATCCAAATCAAATCTGTTTCTACCGCATTCATCTCAGCCTTTCAGACCCAGACCAATCCCAGAAAGTCAGGAGCACGCGCGGGCAGTCACCACTGGAGCGGAAATTCTTGGAGTGGGGGTTTGGCCTAGAGGTCAAGCAGCTGAAATACTGCTGTATTTTTAGACCTCTGAATTAACTCCTTGACAAGTTGATTTTATTTGAAAGGCAGAGACAGACTATGAGATCCCATTTCTAATTTGCTCCCCAAATGTTCAAAACAGCTGGGGCTGAGCCAGGTTGAAGCTGGAATTTGGGAACTCAATCTGGGTCTTCCACGTGGGTAGCAGGAACATGACGACTTCAGCCACCACCACTGCTCCCTGGACACACCCGAGAAAGAAGCCAGAATCAACAGTGAATCTGGGACCTCAAGCCAGGCACTCCGACAGTGGAGCTGGGACCCCAAGTCAGGAACTCCAACAGTGGGTGGAGCTGGGACCCCCAAGCTAGGCACTCTCACAGTGGCACTAGGACTCCAGCCAGGCACTCAGAGATGGGAGTCAGGGATCCCTGGCAGTGTCTGAACTGCCATGCCAAGCACCTGCCTGTGAACTGACTTCTGAACTATCAAATTCAAGCTGATTTCCTAAAGCCTTTGTCAAGAACTTATAAACACTAACGGCAAATGGGTGAGAAGGGTCACATCATTCCTCAGAATTTGCTGTTTTCATTCCTCCTTTATGTGCCATCTTTCTTTAACCCATTATATCACACAGTCCTATACAAAGGACACCTAAAAAGCCTTAAATTGAGCTACAGCAATGTGATAAGCCTCTGCTAACAACTGCAACTACGATGTTGCCAAAATACCTGTAGAACTGAAAACATGGGACTTAATAAATACAGTCAATCTCAGTTATATTTGTCACAATGATGTTATGTGATTCACATGTGAACCAGATGATGGCGATTTTAAGTGGAATCTAACTTAAGTTCTATACTTGACAGAACACAACCAGGGCGCGGGTAAAAGGGGTGAGACGCCACCCCTCCATCTCAGCTAAACAAGGTCAGAGCGACTAGCGAGCAGATTTCAAACTCTAAGGCAAACACGCACACAGCAGAGCCAGGCCTGACGCCCCACTAGTGTCTACTCACACAGCAGAACGCCAGCAGCACACTGGCCAGTACTTGAATCTGTAGCCTTGCCTGCCTCTGCTGTTCTCAGCTGCCAACCAGCTCCACCCGACATCCTGACCCAGGACCCTCCTTCAGGGCCTCCCCCTCTCCAGCCAGCAAGGTCTACGGTGTGACTTAGTACATGCTAGCATGGGCTGCTGGGGCTCACTTGAGTCTAGCCCTAACCAGCATGCTCAGGCAGTGTCACCTCTGTCTCCACCACTGCCTGCGCAATCATGGGGCATAACTGCTGAGAAAGTGTCCGAAAATTGCTTATGTTCCAGATGAAAGCTGCCACAAACCTCAGCAAGTCAACCACATTAGAGCTGCATTGTAACAGGCTGTGCGCAGTGTCTACAAGAAACCTTCCCCACCATGTCCTTAGGGCCAGAACTTCAGGGAAGGAGGACAGGTGCCCCAGGTGACCTCCAGCCTCTCCTACTCGGGTCTCCATTCAGTGAGCAGGCTGCGGTTTCTGCTGTGGTTTGGTCCTGCGTGGAAATGAAGCTTCCCATGTTTATCTCATAACCAGAGGGTCTGCTGGCTACTCATCTGACTCACAGTTGAGCAGCTCCTGCATTTCTGAGTTCACTTCTGAGAGCACCTTAGGGACAGGGAGCAAAGCTCCCAAAGCCCCCAGCCGAGATGGCCATGGCCTCCCCTCGCCCCAGCCAGCACACTGCACCTGCTGCCTTCTTGAGGTTCTGTCTACATCACAGGTGAGAGCTCAAGGCAGATTTCCTACAGGCACACACCAGTAAGAAATTTACAGTGTTCATTTTTGCATCTAAGAGTTTAGTGCATCCTAAAAATCTTATTTCAGTCCACTCTCCTCTCCCACAGTGGGGTCTGCCCCCTGCCCCAGCTCTCTGTGGGATAAAGTGCTCCCAGCCGGAGGGTCAAGGCCCACAAGGATTCAGAGCAGGGCCTCTCCCTCACCACACTTTTGCTGGAAGCAGGGAAGCTACACCCCAGATCCAGGTTCTGCTTTGGCTAATGAGGATCTCTGGGACGTCCTGTGTCCCCTCCCTGACCAGTCTTGATCCAGTAAGCCTACTCTGAAGGGAGTAGACAATGCTTGGGAGGTCTCCAGTAACCGTGCAAGACCGAGAACCACTGGCTTTAAGATGGGGACACTGGCTGTTGCATGTGTCACTGGAAGGTCAGCCCCCGCTGGCTGACAGAGCTGTTCCTCTCATCAGGGAGGACGAAATCCAACAGCCAGGTCTCACCCCATCCTGAGCACTGACTGGGTTTCTACAGTGACAGTGTGTGGGGAGAGCATGAAATGGGAAGGCATGGGGTGCAGGGTTCCTACAGTGGCTGAGTGGTGAGCAGCACTGGGTGGGAGGACTGGGGGGAAGAGGGTTTCTTAAGGGGTTGTGTATGGGGTTGGCATGGAGGCAGGGTTCCTATAGTGTCTGGGTGGGGAGCATAGGATGGGAGGACATGGGGGCAGGGGCAGAGTTCTTACAGTGGCTGAGTGGGGAGCACAGGGTGGGAGGATATCGGGCAAGGGCAGTGTTCCTACAGCAGCTGGCATGGGAAAGAGGCGCTCCTGGGGACACTGTGAAGGAAGGACAATGTTGTCAGCCTGAATACAAGGGCAGGGTTCACGCTCTTGCTCCCATCCCTCCTGGCCCTCCTCAGGCAGACTCCAGAGGATTCTACCACCTTCCTGGACCTGTGGGAAGGGTGCTGAGATAAACAGGAGCCTCTATTACTCAGAAGAGTTTCTGAAACCAAGACAGAGCAGGCGCCACCTGCCAGCACCAGCTCGTTACTGCTGTCTGGCATGGCACACATGTACCCTCCCCACATGCCCTTACGAGGGATGATCCTCCAAGCCTGCCTCTCTGACCCTCCCCACAGTAACCGAGGAGCTGGCTGTCTGTGCCGAGAGCAGTGTTAGCGGGTAGATGGTGGACTTCACCAGCATGCAGTGTCTGCTGTGAACAGGTGGCTCCTCCACATTAGTCAGATCATCATTTCTTAGTATGGGTTAGCAGCACGGTGACGAAAAGCAAATTAACTCTAGAAGCAATTACAGATGGCAGCCCGGCCCAGCCCTGCCCCTGCCTCTCCCCTCCACCCATGGGGCTGGGGTGCTGAGAACCCGCCCCTGCACTGCACAGGCCCCCGCCCCACGGCCTGCCTCCTGCCGCTGCAGGAACGCCTCCCCAAGTTTCCTCAGTGTGATCACCAGTGCCACAGGGCCCGGGCTTGGGGGTCGCAGCAGGGCTGTTCGCTGAAGTAGCTTCTGACCCCTTCCCGCCCCAGGCGGGCCAGCTCATCCCAGTGCCCATAGACCTTTCTTGCCAATCTGGCTGAGAACTGGAATAAAAAGAACCTGCCCCTCCCCCCAGGCCCGAAGGCCATGTCCGGGATCCGCTTCCAGTGATCAGAAACAAAGGAAACTTCAGAGTGTCCCTCCTGCCGCGCGCCTGGCTGGCACGGGCTGGCACGGGCTGGCACAGCGCGGAGAGCTCAAGCAGTGTGGCCGACTGCTCCCGGACCCTCACCAAGCTTGTCTGTGGATGAGATAATGTCAGCGGGCACGGAGGAATCCAGATCAGCGTCCAAAATCCCCAGGGGGTCCAGCTGTGCTACGTGGTGCCCTCGTATCTACGAGGGGCCAGCGAGGAGGGGGAAGGACACACACAAAAGGACAGGAGAAAAAAAAGAGGGAAGGGTAAAAAAAAGTAAAATCACATTAAAATTAGTGTTTACAGGTTAATTCTCACCCACGTTTGAAGAAACAGTTACTGGAGCACCATCAAAATTTACACAACTAATTCCGAGAGGATCAAGTTTTGCAATGTGGTGACCCCTGACCTGGAATAACAACACAAGCAAGTCAGTAAGTAGAGACCAGGGGCCGCGGGGCAGTCCCACGCCACGACCATCCTCCCAGACAGGAGCGCTGCACCAGGCCCACAACACAGTGAGTGTTCAAACAGCCAGCAGCAGAGTGGTGTACAATCGCATTTGCATGAAGGAAGTAAAAATGAGACATGCTGGGAAGCGGAACTCCAGCGTGCGGTCATCACAGATGCCAGCACCCTTAAAGGCACTGGTAGTGACTGGGGTGGCCCCGATGAGGCATCATCCCATGTCGGGAGGTGTGCCTGCATCAGCCCCGTAGACAGCGGGGCCCAGGACTACAACTTTCTGCATTTGAAACAAACCACATGAACTGCTTACAAATCCAGACAGGAAGGCTGTATTGTCCAGGCCCAAGTCCTCTCCATGCTGGGTATGCTACTCAGGCTCCCGCCAGCGTTCTGAGAAAGGGGCAGGTGCTGACGAGTGTGCCCGGTCAGGTCAACGTGCATCACAAGGGCACACAGGTGACTGTGGAGGAGGACCTGCTGTGTCTCTTACCTGGGGTCAAGTCCACTGTGAACACCTGGAGGACTGGGCTGCACCCTGACAGCTGCCTGGCAGTGCACTCCTGCCCAGGGCCCTCCCCACATCACCCTGGGCTCCTGCCTCAGGGCGTGGGAATATGAAGCAGAAAGGAGAGCTGGGGCACAGGGGCCTGCCCAAGTCCCCACAGGGAGGAACTGGCTTGCTTGCGCCAGCTCCTTCTTCAGAGCCCACTTATCACTGCCCACGGTCTAACCCTCAATTCCGGGATCTCCTGGCCTGACAGGGAACATGCTGGAGGCAGCTCATTCTGCTTCCTCTAGACAGGCTGCACCTTCAGGTATGCTGTGATGAGAACCCCTGGCCCGTCCTCACAAGCAGGGAATCCAGGTGCCCTCCTCTGGGGCCTTTCTCAGGGTCCCACTAATGGCACTACCTTCCCAGCCACTGCTCCCTCTTGCTAAGCGGGGCCTGGTCAGGGGCAGGTGTTGTTCAAGCAGGCGAGCCTGGCGCTGTTCCTCCTGCATATCCACTGACCCCTGTGGGCCCTGGTAACGGCTCAGGGACGACGGCGAGCCAAACCAGTGGTGCCCTGGGGAACGCTGCACCCTGATTTTCACGGGGACAACTCCCCACCTACCTGATATGCCCTGATGAGAGACTGAACCGCCAGGTGGTCCTCCACGAGTTTGTCCACGTTGGGCTGAGCCTGGGCCACAGCCGCCAGGGAGCTCCGGCTCAGGGGAAGGGGACTCTGATAAGCAGTGCCTGGAGGGGCTCCGGCATTGGTGTTGCGGAAAAAAATGTCCCATGACTAGAGAAAAGAAAGGCAGCATTAGTTCACTGTTCCCTGCAGGGGCCGCCAATTCACCTTCCACAGGCAGGCCATACCTGCCTGCTCCCCTTACCAAGTGCAGGGCCCTGGTTTCCCGCCACTCTCGTTTTGCCTTCAGAATGCATGTGCTTGTTTTTTTTTTTAAATATATATATATATTTTTAAAAAGATTTATTTTATTTTTATTGGAAAGGCGGATATACAGAGAGGAGAGACAGAGAGGAAGATCTTCCATCCGATGATTCACTCCCCAAGTGAGTACAACGGTCGATGCGATGCCGATCCGAAGCCAGGAGCCTCTTCAGGGTCTCCCGCGCGGGCGCAGGGTCCCAAAGCTTTGGGCTGTCCTTGACTGCTTTACCGGGCCATGGGCAGGGAGCTGGATGGGAAGAGGGGCCGCCGGGATTAGAACCGCCCTTATGGGATCCCAGGAGTGCAAGGGGAGGACCTTAACCACTGCGCCACCGTGCCGGGCCCGAATGCATGTGCTTTTACAAGTGCCACACATGCCCAGGAACCATCTTGCATCAAGATTTCAAGAGCCCAAAGCCACACACTGGCTGCCTTGTGGACTAAGCTAGGTGCAGCACCAACAGCAGGCCCTACTGCTGGGAGGTGCTCAAGCTCTCTGTGCTCCCACCCCCATAGGTGCCCTTAAAAGTGATAGAATGCCTTCATTAAGACTCCAGTCACTGGGGACCCAGCGACAGCTGGCCTGTGTCCACCTCCTCCCTCCTTCCTCCTCTGGACACAAGGCAGAGTCTCCTCTATTGTGGGAGGCAGCAGTCATGGGCATGAGATACAACCTGCCCCCTACAAGAGGAGCCCACGGGGAGTGGGGCCAGAGACCCTTGCTAGGTGTCTTCCTGGGATTAGCTATCTCATCTGTCACAGACGGGGCCAATGACAGGGCACTGCAGACGAGGCTGCTCCTGTGACACTGTCACTGTTGGGGTGACTTTTATGTCCCACATGTTCTACCACACCAGTTCCCTATTCATGAGCCTGGAAAAGCAGCAGCAGATGGCCCAGATGCTCAGGTCTGTGCACCCACGTGGGGGACCAGATACAGTTTCGGGCTCCTTCTTGGTATTGCCTTGGCTCAGTCCCAGCAACTGCAGTGATGCGAGGAGTGGACCAGCAAAGGGGTGGGAGAGCCAACTGTGTCCTCCCTGGCAGGGTGGGTATTTGATGCGGCACTTCCGATTCCCGCTTGGGAGACCTGTACCAGAGTGTCTGGATGTGTGCTCCAGCTTCACTTTCCCTTCTTTTTTCAGATGCATTAACTTGAAAGGCAGAGCACAAGAGAAAGTCTTCCATCCATTGGCTCACTCTCCAGATGGCTGCAGCTGCCAGGGCTGGCCCAGGCAGAAGCCAGAATTCCATTTAGGGCCCCCACATGCATGGCAGGGGCCCATACTTCGGTCAGTCTAGCGCAATCCCAGGTGCACTGGTAGGAAGCTGGTCAGAACCGGAACAACTGGGACTCAAGCCAGCACTCTCATATGACACTTGTGCCTCAAATGAATGGTTTTACTCTGCACTCCGTCCACCTCCCAGCACTCTCATTCACACCTTGGGAGGTCACAGTCCTTGCCACACACTTGGCAGACAGAGGTCTGGGCTCCTGGCTTCAGTCTGGCCCAGCTCTGGCTGTTTTGAGATTTTGGCAAAGTGAACTGGTATATGGAATATATTTCAGTGTATGTCTGCCTCTCAAATACAACATCTAAAAACTAAAAAAAAAAAAAAAAAAAAATTCATACATATCGCTGACTGGGCTTACTGTGTCCACAGCAGAGCAAGCGTAGGGAGAGACCTCCAGCCATCTAGGAAAGGATCAAAGAAAATGGGAAACAATGATTCGTAAACTTGGGATTCAAATTAAGAAAATATTAAGAAGAAGAAATTTCGGCTTGGGAAGCTCAGGAGCCAAGGGCAACACCCAGGTTGAGTGCTCAGCTAGAGGCTTCCTCCCAGCTCAGGCCAGCAGAGGGCAGGCCCTGCCCACAACCACAGGGCCTCTCTCTGACCTTCAGTGCTTGAAATAAAATTACAGGTGGTTCTTGATGTCAGAGAGGACATCCAAGTGGGGGAGGCAGTGCTGCACAGCTTCCTGGGAAGGGTGTGCAGGGAACACAGCTCCCTTCCTTCACCGCCCAGGCCTGTTCCCCAGAGACCTTACTACCCCTTGGCATGGTGCCCCAGAGCCACTCTCAAAGGTTTTCAGACCTGAGGGCATGAGGTTCTGCACTGGCAAAACAGGTGACGTTGGCCATTTACAGTTCTAGTGTACCTAAGACAGGCCTCAATAATAATGAAACTAAACAGAGACTTGGAAAGCAAAGGTTTTCTGATACGCAGATTTTACCTACCCAGAGGTGAGAGAGTCCAGAACACACCTGCCCCAGCCCTCCTGCTCCTCCCTCATGGGCAGTTCAGGCTGTAGGTCCCTTCCTCACCCAGGACTGTTGGGTGCCTGCCCACCCCCCTGGCAGGCGCCCATCCAGGCAACACACAAGAGGCTTTCCGCTGAGGACCCCAGCCGTTCCTGGCCCCAGAACCACGGTCTGCCCCTGGAGCTGAGACCACAAAACGCCAGTCAGAGTCAGTGACACCCAGTGAGAGGACGCGCCTCTCAGAAGAAAGGAGAACATACACAGTGACATACACAGCCGGCCAGTGCCATCACCAACAACCTGGGCTCCCAATTTCCTGTGTCGTGAGAAAATGAAGCCTAGGCACCTGAGCTTGCATGAATCAGATGCATGGCTCACTCTCCTCTGGTGGCAAAGATGCCCAGAGCCTGGGGCAGAGCAACAGCTTTTTAAAAAAAGATTTATTTTTTTTTCTGGAAAGGCAGCTCAGATTTATGGAGCGAAGGAGAAATAGAAACATCTTCCATCCACTGGTTCACTCCCCAAGTGACCACAATGGCGGGAGCTGAGCCAATCTGAAGCCAGGAGCCAGAAGCTTCTTCCAGGTCTCCCACATGGGTGCAGGGTTCCAAAGCTTTGGGCCATTCCATCTACTGCTTTCCCAGGCCACAAGCAGAGAGCTGAATGGGATGTGGAGCAATTAGGACATGAACTGGCACCATATGGGATTCTGGCACTTGCCAAAGGGAGGATTTAGCTAACTGAGCCATCATGCGGGGCCCAAGGCAGCCACTTCTGTTCTGTAAATGTTTCAAGGGTTCAAGCAGAAGTCAGATAAAGGGCAGTCCTGGCTCATGGGGGCCCCTCATTAGCACAAAAGACAGCCACACATGGCTTTTTGCCCACGAGACTGGCAGGGGGTGGAGCAGTACTGGGTACAATGTGGCCACTTGGCTTCTGAGTCACCCTAACTCACACAGGCGCCCTTACGAGCACCACACCCTTCACCAATATCACCACTTACCCAAGACCTCACTTGGTGCCAGCATGGAAAATACCTTTCCCCTTGCCTCGCCCTGAGTGTGCCAAGGGCACATGGGAATATTTGGTTTTCTGATATCAAGGATGACGATACTGGAAGAGGGAAAAGGGTAAAATGACACTTAGGACAAGCAGCTGCGGGAAAAGCGAGGCATGCGCCTGGAGGCAAGCTACATCACTGCCAGAGGCATGTGGGAGGTACCACACAACAAAATAAACAGGGAAAAGGAATCCAGTTCTGGGTCCTACAAAAGCCACCCTGATGGGGGAGTCCCTTCTGGCTTTGGACTGCAGGTGTGTAGAGACAAGCCCCTCCCTTCATCAGAAGCCTGCCACTAGAACTCCCTGGGATGCAGCCCAGGCAGCAAGGAGGGCGGTGGGTCGGATGGTAGCTGAATGTCGCCAGCCTGGGTGGCAGCCCCTGCTGTGAGCAAAGAAGAGGCCCAGAGCCCTGTACGGGCTGGGACTTAGGGCTGGACAACAGCCACCTGGACCCTTGCCATGTGTGGTGAGTTGTCCATGTTAAAGTGCTTGCGGTGTTAACTTGCATGAACGTGAAGCCGCTCGTGTTTAGCTAAGGCATCTCAGGAGCAGGGTGCTGTTCTGCCCACCTGTGGGGTGGGGCCACACACAGGTGGCAGTGCAGCTCCCTACTGGTCTGAGGATTACCACCAGGGCCTTGCTTCCAGGCTGTGCTCCACAGCCTCCCAGCTTGGTTCTGACGGTGCCCACCTCACCCCTCCTAGGCCATGGCTCGTTCTCAGCATGTGGAGACTGGCCGTGGCTCAGACCCCTCTGTTTCCCAAATTCCTGACAGCCCACCTAACCCTTTGGGGTCCAGGTGCCCCCTTTGCCAGCTCTGTTCCCTTCTGTGGGGTTCAAGTGTTGGCCTCTCTCTCCCCCTTGCAAACAGGAAGCTCCGTGTAGGTGTCGTTCAGACCCACATGGCATATGACAGCAAGCGACGGGCCAGACCAAAGCCAGGAGCCCATAATCTAATCTAGGTCTCCTATGTGAGTGGCCCAACCTGTGCTATCTACCAGCGAATGCATTAGCAGGAAGCTGGATCAGAAACGGAGCAGGGGAGGTGGCAGGGGGCTTGAACCCAGGCACCCTGATAAGGAATGCAGCTACTCTAAGCAGTGTCCTAACTGCTGCATCCAACTCTCTAATCATGCTTCTTCACTGCTATAAATACAAGGACACTGCAACAACTACTATTCGTGGATAACATGTATTATAAAAAAAAAGTATGCAGGGTTTCAAATTTTTCCACTAAAACTTGTATATTTTAATCAATTTTCCAAGAACTCTTTGAAGTGCCCAGGCACAAACAGCAGGGCAAAGCCAGCAAGGAGACAGCACAGCTCTCCTCTCGGACCATCCTGACCCAGCTGGCTGCCTCCCTGTGACACACAGCTAAGAGCTGCTGCACGTGTGTCCTGCCCTGCAGGTCCCAGCCTGGTCCTGTAAAGACTGAGGAAAGCGATCCTCACGCATGTGTTGGATTAGGACACCAGTGTGGAGGACCTGTGGATGCAGCGCGAGTGCTCAGGATGGGAGAGGTGGGCTGCCAAGGCTTTTCCCAGTGAAAGCTTGGCACAGACCAGGCCCAGGCAGGCAGGCTCTTGGTCACCAGTCAGGAGACCTGCCTATGAAGCATCGGGACACACTGAGGTAGGGGCTGCAGCAGTGCCATCCCAGAAGAGCTAGCGTGGGGCCAGTCAAACCAGGAATCAACTGGATACTCCGCAGATGCAGCCCCAGGCTCAGGGTGCAGACTTACTCTGCCAAGGGCCACTTACAAATTGACCTGCTACAGCTTCAGCCTGTGGCTGCCTGGACAAAGCCAAAACATCTATGTCAGTCTTTAACACCTGGGGACTGAACGGTCCCATCCCCGAGGGGCAGAACATCTGAACAATCACTACCAGCTGCTCTCTGTATAAGTGGGGGAACAAACGCCAACAAACCCAAGACTGGTGAAGCAGAGGTTCCTTGGCCGTGCTCTGTGGACTTCACTGATATGGAACCTAGCTGCTATCTACTGGGACTCTGTACTAGACCAAAGGGGGTATGGCCAAGCTCTCCAGTTCCTTGGAACTGACTACAGCAACTGGCTGAGAACCAGGGAACAGGCCATGGGCAGCAGCCTGCACCCTCTGCCCGGTGCCCAGGCTCCAGGTGCCCCACAGCTGTTCTCTTGCTTCCTAAGGACAGTAGTAGGCCAGAGGGCAGCACAGATCAAGTGCCCAGGTGAGGAGGCCCAGTGGGCAGCCAGCACCAAGTGCCCGGGCAACCAGGCCCACATGGTAGCCAACATCAAGTACCCAAGGTCACAGAGGTCCTCACAACTTCCAGCATGCCCCCGAGTACAGGAGGCACGACCCACACAGCCGCCACCCTGGTTCTGCTTTGAGTTCCCAAGGTCCAAGTGGGGACCCAGACAGCCCTGCCTCCAGGATAGCCTGGGTCACCTCCTGGGCAGCCCCACACTGCCCTCCTTACAGAAGGAGCACCAAGTCCTTGCCCAGACTAGCTCATGGAGTTTCACTCACCAGGCAGCCATCTGGCCACCTGGGCCAGCACCAGCCCTCCACCCCCTGCAGGAGTCGGGGGGCCTTGGAGCAGCCACTCTAAGCGCAGGCAAAGGGCGCTGAGCTGAGGTCATGTCCAGGGCACTTAGGGGCCGAACAGGAACAGCCAGGAAGTGGAGTCCCAAAGGCCCTCCTCCCACCACCCTTCAGGGCCACCTGGGACCAGGCAGAGCCAGACTCAGGCGGCTGCCCCGGGTCACGAGTGCAGGTCGGGGAGGAGGGCAGAGTCTCTGACCTTCCTCAAGGGCTGGGTAGGCCTCTTTCCACTCCTGGATTCAACACAGCCCTCTTAAGGCCTTTGCCTTTTCAATTTTTTCCCTTTCCTTTAGTTACACACACACACAAATTATTTATAATGCAAAACAAAAAGACAGCTATTAAAAGCACCAGTCTTCAAGAGTCACAGCAAGGTGCACTCAGAACTTCCCCACCCAGCACAGGCGGCTGAGAGTGGACATGGCCTCAGCCCTACTGCTCTTGGGGACCCCCACTCCATCAATGTGACCTTCAACTCACTTGCTCCAGCCCCCAAAGGAAGTGTTCCCGCTCTCATTTCACTTAACTAGACACATCCTGGGACCTCCCACTGGCCCCATGACCCGTCTTCCCTATTGCTGCTTGGCCCCAGGTCCAAGCCTGTGCCAGAGTGGGAGTGACCGGCACCACCCTCCAGGAGCGCAGGGTCCCCGAGCATCCTGCTAGGACACCAGTTCAGGGCAGGGCTGCGTCACACTTTCTGGGGCTTTCAAAGGGGTTAGCTCACTCTCATGGTACCAGAAAGGCAACCTGGAGAGAGAACCTGCACTGAGGCTGGGAAGGAATCGTTACCTGGCACAAGAGCCGAACACGCTGATCCCTCTCTTGACATAAAGGAACAATCTCCAAGCAATCAGCACTAAAATTCTGCTTACACAGATCATGGCCCAAAATAAATCAATCTTTAAAAATGCTAAGAAAAAAAAAAAAAAAAGAAGAAGAAAAGAAAAATACTCAAAAACACATTCCTTAGGAAAAAATAATACTAATTTGAAAAGCAGAGTGGTAAGCGGCATGTGCTTGGGGCAGAGGACAGATCGATCTTTCACTCTCTGGGGTGAGCTGGGGTTAGTTCAGGTCAAAGCCAGGAGTTCAGGAGGCCAGGCTAAGCTGCCGGCATCCCATGTGGGTGCCAGTTCAAGTCCCAGCTGCTTCACTTCTGATTCAGCAAACTGTTAATAACCTGGGCAAGTAGCACAGGATGGCCCAAGTGCATGGGCCCCTGCACCCATTTGGGAGACCTGGAAGAAGCTCCTGGCTCCCAGCTTCAGCCTGGCCAGGCCTGCTGGTATGCGGCATTTGGAGAATGAACCAGCAGATCTAAGACTTCTGTCTCTCCTTCTCTCTGTATCTTTGCCTTTCCAATAATTAACAAAACAAAACAAAAACAAAAAACACTAAAAAACCAAATACACACACACACACACAAAAAACCCAGCCGGGGCTCCAGAATGCCATCTGGCTCTTCACACGGGCTGCAGACCAAGCTCCACTGCCTTCCAGGGGCGATACCAGGGAGCTGGAGCAGAAGCAGGACAGCAGGGACTTGAACTGGTACTCAAACGCAGGACACCAGTAGCACAAGGGGTGTCTGAGTTGGCTGTATCCTAATACTGACCCCTCAAAAATGTACTCTAAGCACCAAACTGCCACGACCCAAAAGGCCTTGGGAAGGGATGTTCAGCCCAGCAGTTAAGACACTGATTAAGACACTTGGGGTGCCTGATGAGCACCTGCTAACAGAGACCCTAGCAGGCAGTGGAAGGACTTAGGTGGATGGGTTCCTGTCCCACACAGGAGACCTGGATGGAGCTCTCAGATCCCTGCTCAGTCCATCCCATCTCTTTCGCCTCTGTGCCTCCTGCTACACTCCCCTCCCCCGCTCTGGCGGTGGTGTCATACAACAGGACCCTGGCCAGGGAGGAGTTCCGGGCTGGGACTGGGTGGCAGGTACAGCAGGCCCTCTTCTTCAAAGCATACATTGCTCAGGTGGATCCCAGGTTGCCCAGGGCTGCTTCCTGGTCACGACGGGGAATCACGTGCGCAAATGCAGGCTGCGTTCCATAAGCCTGGAGGGCCAAAGGTCACGGAAGAGAGCCGCAGCCCTGCAGGTGCACCCAGAACACATACAGAGCACAATGGGGGCTGAGTTCTCACTGCACTGTGGGAAGCTGACCGTGAAGGCTCCACAAGAAAAGCTCACACAAATGTGCCTCAGTGAACGAGAATGCGGGGCTCTGAGCGGCCCGACCACCACGCTGCAGCCAGGGTCCTCCAGCAATGCCCGGTGGGAGGTGGTAACCTCCTCCCAGGCGCTGGTCTAGGAAACACAGAGCCATCCCGTCCCCAACATGAAATCCTCGCAGCAGCAGTTGACTGCTGGCTGCATCTTCCTACCACAGATTTCCTGAAGGTGACTTTGTGGGCTGGCCCACAAAGGGTGCCCTGAAGAGAACGAGGCCCAAGATTAGGCCTGCCAGGGGCATGTCCAATTCAAGATCACCTGAGCGACCCTCCAGCCCAACACAGGCTGCTTCCACAGGCACTTCTTCCTGGGCCATCTGCCTGCATACTTTCCCTACAGGACTATGGTCCAGGGGCTTCCAGAAGACCCCAGGAACAGAAGAGGATGGACTGGCTCTGCACTGCGGCCGTAGGTGCAGGCCCATTGCTCAAGGTCACAGCACTGAAGCTGATGCTCACTCCCAGCGGCCCTTGGCCCAGGAAGCCATGACCCTGAGGTCTCAGAGCAGGAACAGTGGAATGAAGAGTGGAACAGGCTGTGGGGGCTCAACTGCCTTCCCCGCAGACGCATCTGCTTTCCCACTCCCCACTGCCCTATGCACGTGGCATAAGACTCAACACAGTACTGTCTTCAACCCTGTGCCAGGTTGTCCATCATGCCCACATTTCAAATTCATTCCCTGGCCACAAAGAGGTAGGGACACTGTCTCCAGGCATGCCTCCCACTGACATGCAAAGGAGGGGATGGGGAGAAAGAGCCCTTACAGGAAACAGAAATTACAAAGAAATGGGAAAACCAGGGCACGATGACCAAAAGGCCCTAACACAGGAGTCATGGGAGGCGCATGTGAGGCAGGCTCTCCTATGGAGCGTGTCCTCGGGGACAGGGTGCCCCCCTTCTCCACGCACTTCCCTTCAGGGTGGGCCTTCTGAGGCGGGTCTTGGGGAAGTCATGGAGGGCACACACATATGCTTCTTCACATCCTTGTGGGGCTACAGGTATGTGCCTCAGGTCCTCACAGAGCCACAGACGTGCTTCCTCACGTTGTCATGGAGCCACAGACGTGCTTCCTCCCGTTGTCATGGAGCCGCAGGCGTGCTTCCTCACGTTGTCATGGAGCCGCAGGCGTGCTTCCTCACGTTGTCATGGAGCCGCAGGCGTGCTTCCTCACGTTGTCATGGAGCCGCAGGCGTGCTTCCTCACGTTGTCATGGAGCCGCAGGCGTGCTTCCTCACGTTGTCATGGAGCCGCAGGCGTGCTTCCTCACGTTGTCATGGAGCCGCAGGCGTGCTTCCTCACGCTGTCATGGAGTCACAGGCGTGTTTCCTCACGTTGTCATGGAGCCACAGGCATGTTTCCTCATATTGTCATGGAGCCACAGGCATGTTTTCTCATGGATCTGCAAACATGTTTCCTCATGGAGCTGCAGGCATGTGCCTCCTCGGGTCCTCAAGGGTTTAATTATGGCACCTCTGCTGGCTTCTGCTTGGGCTGAGTCAGGCTGATGCGGACACGGTGGTAACTGTGAGGCTGCAGCCGACTGCCTGGCGCACACACTTACCTGGGTGGCAGTTGGCATAGACCCACACACAAAGCTGAGCGCCCACAGACCTGAGCCTTACCTTGTGTACACTCTTGGGGTTCTCCAGCCAAGCACAGTACATCTCCTCCACATAGTTTGAACTAGTCCCACTGAGAAAGGGCTCGGCGGCAACTGGTGCTGAGTAGCACCGAGCCTGCGGAAACGTCCTGGCCGCTGGCGGCCTGCTCTGGGCACATGTCTTAGCAGTCTGGGAGGCCGTCAAGGGCCGCAACTTAGCAGCACAAGTCCTTAAGTGGAACATTTTAGTCCTGAAGCCTTTTACCGCAGCCTGCACAAAAGAGCAAGAAACAAAGTTAAAATTAAGAACACTCCAGGAGAAAAGGCTACTAGAGCCTGAATCTGCTGTGGAGAAAGATGTGGTGTGTGGATGCACTCGTGAGAGTGCCTGCCATAGGATGCACACCTACGCAGGGGCCATACAGTAAGCCTTGGGAGCCAGGGGGAACAGCCACTGCCACTGCCACTCAGGAGCCGAATCTCACCCCAGCATAACGATGCAGACACGGCAGTCTAAGTCCTACACTGTATAAAACAATGACTAAGGAATCAGGATCAGGACTCAGATGCTCTCTGATCCAGCCCAAAACTGTCAAGCACCTGCTGTGCTCACAGCTTTGTGGGAAACACAGACAACAGAAAACACTCTGCTTACCCTTAAATAATCTCCTCTTGAGCAGAGGAAACAAACATAAAATGCACTCCAGAGACTGCTAACACTGAGTGCTCGGGAGGTGAGGATCCTCCAGCCACCTGGGAGGGGGTTTCACTCCAGAACAGGAGAGGCAAAAGACAGACATGGGATGGCCCCTGTGGTGCCAGGAGAGCAAACAAAACCAGAGGCCTTGCCCAGGGCCTCCTGGCTGAGTCTGAGGGCATGAGCTGAGAACCCTCGGCACCACCACGCCCACCTGGAGGGCACATGGCGCTGTCCTGAGCATACTGGGCACCACCGCGCCCGCCTGGAGGGCATGCGGCCCTGTCCTGAGCACACTGGGCATCACCGCACCTGCCTGGAGGGCACGTGGCCCTGTCTGAGCACCCTGGGCACCACCACGCCCTCCTGCAGGGCATGCAGCGCTGTCCTGAGCACACTGGGTCCCACAGAGCACTTCTGAGCACACTGGGCACCACTATGCCACCACTGCATCACTTGCCCACCTATACCCCCTGGACAGTGCACAAACCCACAGGACCGGTAACCGTACACAGCACCTTACTTCTCTACTATCAACAAGCAGCCCGGCGGCCCTTCAGCACCCTGGATCCCCTGGCCTGGAGACGGGGGTGAAAGGCTAGGTCAACGGAGAGGAAGGCCTGGCATACCAGACAGGAGGGAAGTAAGGGGAAGGAGCTGTGGAGGGGGACAGGAGGAAAAGGAGGAGGAGGAGGAGAAAAAGGAGGGATGGAGCACCAATGCGTTCTGGATGGAGGCAGGGCATGCAGTGCAAGTGAAAGGAGGGAAGCTTTTCCTAACCAGCAGTACTATCAAGTGGGGCGTCCAGCAGAGATGAGGGGCTCAGGGCAGTCACTGCCATCAAAGGGTCCCCAGCCATGTGCTGCCACTCTGAGCAATCGCCTGGTCCAGGAAAAGTGCAAGAACACAGGCTGGGCTTCTCCAATACCTCAGCTGCCAAGGGGCAGGCAGCCTGGCCATGGGACCTTGGGACAGAACCTTGGCCTTGCGGCCAAAGGTCAAATGAGAGGGTGGAAGGCTGCGTCAGGGGTCCAGGCAATAAAAAGACCTCGCTGACCTAACGCCTGCCTGTTCCTGGGATCAAACTCCACACCCACACCTCCCTGAAGGAAACCCAGGCTCTGAAACAGGTTACCAACTACGTAGGAATAAACACTACGTAAAACCATCATCCTGAGGAGGGGGAAAGGAGGAAAAGGATGTGCAGTGCCAGCATTCCACGCACACACAGGTTCAAGACCTGGCTGTCCTACTTCCAATCTTGCTGCCTACTAACGTGCCTAGGAACGCAGAGGAAGAGGGCTCCTGTGCTGTGCCCTTAAACCCACATGGGAGACCTGGAAGATCCTCTGGGCTTCTAGCTCTGGCCTGGCACAGCTGGCCACCGCGGCCATTTGGGGAGTAAACTAGCAGACAGGAGATCCCTCTCTTTCCCCTCTCCCTCTCTCTATAAAACTCTGCCTTTCACATAAATAAATAATCTTAGAAGAAAAATTCTAGGGCTGGCATTATAGTATTTCAGGCTAAACTGCCACTTCCAATACAGGCATCCTATATGGATGCTGGTGTACATCCCAGCTGTTCTACTTCTGGTCCAGCTCTCTGGTAACTGCCTGGGAAAGCAGCGGGAGACAGCCTTACTGTCTGAGCCCGTGTCAGCCACATCCACCCAATGCTCTTGGCTCCTGGCTTGGGCCTGGCCCCCCCAGCCCTGGTCACTACAGCCATCTGGAGAGGAAACCACAGGATGGAAGCTATCTCTTTCTCTGAACTTTTTCAAAATGAATAAAAACATTTTTAGAAATCTCTTCACTTATAAAACCTTCCTCTTGGCTCAGATTTTCTCAAAATGCACCCAGAGACTGACGGGGAGAACTCCGCGTCTGGCACTGTCCCCTTGCCACAAAGAACAGCAGAGGAGGGGCAGAGCTGACTGTGAGGGCCACGAGACCTGCTCGGGAAAATGACAGTGGCTCCTTACCCCCGGCAGGGGAGAGCAACGTGTGCTGGAGGTAGCAGAGCATGCAGCCTCGAGCCCCGGGTCCCCTCAGAGGCCGGCAGTAACTTACAGCCGCTCTTCCCGCCACCAGCGACACACCAGTGTCTTCCATTCATAAACGGAAGCCAAAGAGCCCAAGTGCCGAGGGCAGCAACAGCACTGCTGAGCTCCTGTTCCTCAGGCCCATTTCCTGCCACATAGCCAGGCTGTCCTTGACCCCAGCGGCCTCCCCTGGCTACCCCGGACTCTGGAGCCTAACAGCCCAACAACAGGTACCGCACCTCTAGGCACCCCCAGCCACTCCACCAGGTGAAGCTGTGAAGACATCATGATGCACAGCCACCTGCACAGCTGGAGGGCTTCAGGCTACAGAAAAAAGCATCCCTCAGCAGACGACTGCAACAGGGACAGCTAGGACAGCTGCACACTGTCCACCTGGCAGACCCGTCCAGCCGACGCCAGACACTTCTGGTTCTGGTCAGCAGCCCAGGCTCCCTCTCTCTGACAAAAGGCAGGCAGTGGAAGTTCTGGCTCACGCCCAGATCAGCTTTAAGAACAGCCTTAGGCTAGACACATTCAACTACCTAAACCCTTTCCTGCAAGCTGTGAACCACCTGGAGCCAAGCTGCTCTGGCTTCTCTCTGACAAGGGCGCGGCCACAACCTGGACACCATATCCAGCCCACAGGCCAGGAGCTCGGTACGTTATGGAATGAGGTAGAGGAAGCCACTGCACACTGGAGATCATGGTGGATCTCAAAGGTCCCCAGTCTTCCAGAGTTCTTGCTACAAAAAGGGCTTTGGGATCAACACGTGACGCCTCCCTTGGGCATGAGCTCCTGCCATGTGTGACCCAGCGGCGGAGCCTCACAGGAGGCTGGCACAGAGCGGCTGGCCCTGCGCTCCAGGCCCCACAGTCATACACAAGCAGATCTCTTTACCAGTCTCAGGGATCTTCCTTAACATTTCCTCATTTTCATCTCTTTCAAAGGCAGAGAGGACAGACAAGGAGAGCTCTTCCTTGCACTGGTTCACTCCCCAGTGTCACAATCACGGGGCTGCAGTCAGGGGCCGGCCACGGGACCCGGATCTCCGTGTGGGTGCCAAGGATGCAAGGACCTGTGCCAAAACCTGCTCCTGCTGCCTCCCAGAGTCTAAACTGGCAGAGCTGGGACTCGAACCCAGACACTGTGCTACAGGATGCCTCTCAAATGGCGTCTCAACTGCCTAGCCCAGCCTTGGGTAGCCTTTTTTCTTTGTTAAAAATTTATTCATTTGTTGTTTGTTTTTAAAGGTTTATTTTATTGGAAAGTCAGATTTACAGAGCGAAGGAGACAAAAAGACCCTACATCTGCTGGTTTACTTCCCAAGCGGCTGCAAAGGCTGGAGTCGAGCCCATCCGAAGCTAGGAGCCAGGAGCCTCCCCTGGGTCTCCCACGTGGGTGCAGGTCCCAAGGCTTTGGGCCGTCCTCTACTGCTCTCCCGGACACAAGTAGGAAGCTGGACGGGAAGTGCAGCAGCCGGGACAGGAACTGGCACCCATACAGGATCCCGGAGCATGTAAGATGAGGACTCCAGCCACTAGGCTACTGTGCTGAGTCCTAGTTATTTGAAGGGCAGAATGACAGAGAGACATCTTCATCTGTAAGTTTACTCCCCAAATACTCCTGATGCCAGATACTGATTGGCAGCAGCACTTCAACCCATACTTCCCACCTGAGTGGCAGGAACCACTTGAGACATTACTGCTGCCACCTGGGTCCAGGTTAGCAGGAATGTAGCACTGGGAGCTGCAAGCCGAGCGCAGGCACTGACATGGGATGCAGGTGCCCCTCATGCTGGGTGGAACACGTGCCCCTTGAATGTACAACTTAACTGGATGAATCAAGCAGCATGCCAATTGTTCCTGAGCAGTTTTCTCTAAAAACATTACTTCAGAGTTGACATTTGGCACCAGCATGTGACAGGCAAAGCGCATATTGGAGGACCTGGGTTCAAGCCCCAGCTCTGCTTCTGACCCAGCTTCCTCTTAACATGCACCTAGCACCTGGCAGGCATGGGTGGCGGGCTCAAGTAGCTGGGTCTGTGCCACTTCCGAGGGAGGCTTCGGCCTGGCATAGTCCCTGCTGCTGCGGGCACTTCAGGAGTGGATCAATCCCGATCTCTCTCTACCTCTCTAGTAAACAAAAATAAAAACTGACGACTGGCCCTGGTGTGATAGCCTAGCAGCTAAAGTCCAGGATCCCCTATGGGCGCCGGTTCTAATCCCGGCAGCCCCACTTCCCATCCAGCTCCCTGCTTGTGGCCTGGGAACGCAGTTGAAGACAGCCCAAAGCCTTGGGACCCTGCACCTGTGTGGGAGACCCAGAAGAAGCTCCTGGCTTTAGATCGGCTCAGCTCCAGCTGTTGTGGCTGCTTGGGGAGTGAATCATCAGACAGAAGATCTTCCTCTTTATCTTTCCTCCTCTCTGTATATCTGACTTTGTAATAAAAATAAATAAATCCTAAAAAAAAAAAAAACTAACAACGAACTAGGGAGATTTAAAGTTCCAGTTCCCACATTAAAGCTAAACATT